CCCTAGGAAGGGGTCCATTGCCTGGGGCTGGGTCTTTTCCCTTCTCCTTGAACCTGGGCCATGTTTGAGCCAAACTTGAGAGAGGGACGGAAGCTGAACACAGCGTTATGTTCCTGCAGTCCTCATAAAACTGCCTTTCTGGGATGCGAGAGTGCCATACAGCCCGGGTTGGTGGCTCCTGTGGATGGGAGGAGTGGTGTCGGGTGAGCACAGGCCCATATTAGACATCAGAGGATCCGCTAGGGCAGGGAAATACAACCACGGGCACCCCAGTTTTCTCCCTTCTCCAGCCAAAGGAGCATTCGTAGCCTACAAACCTCCTGGTGCCGACAACGGAGGAGGGATGGGCACGGACCCTACCTGTCTGTGGGACCAGCGTGTCCCACGGTGGGGGAGCTGTGCATCTCCCCCCATTACCAGCCTCGGGAGCTGGGGCTTGATGGCGGCTGGGGGGTCTTGTTTGAGCATCCCCAGGGGAAGAGCGTGGCGGTGTGCGGGGCACAGTGCGGGGTACGGCACGGCCCTCGTCGGCCCCGTCCGCAGCGGCTCGCTGCCGAAGAACATTCCAGGGAGGCTGGCGCGGGGCCAGCGCCGCGGGGCAGGGAAAGGGGCCTTTTATGGAAGCGTTTCTGCATTAGAATAAAATCATAATAATAATGCGCAGGGGAAGGGAGCGGGAGGAGGAGGAGGAACTCCTGAAGAAAACAGGGAGGTGGGATGGGAACAGGCTGGTGGCCGGGGAGGGGGCAGGCGCTGTGCATCACCCTGTGGGGACCGGGATGGGGTGGGATCTGGGTGCTCTGAGTGGGGTGCTTGGGGGAAATCCTGCTTTTTATGGCCCCGGGCGGGGGAGGCTGAGCAGAGTGCGGGGGGGTCCCCGTGCTGCCACGGTGGGGGACCAGCCCCTGAGTGGTGTTTGGTGTGTTGGTTCGATTCTGGGACGGGGCAGGGGATGGCTGGGTGGGGGTCACCGCTCCTGGGGACACACGGAGGGGTTCAGAGGGGATAAAGCGCCCCAAATCACACTCTGCCACTACCGCTGGTGTCTTTGGGCCCACGCAGGGCTGGAACGGTTGTTCCTGCTGCCCTCGGCACCAACAAACAAGGCGCTGCCTCTCCCACCCTGGCGTGCCGCTGCTTCCCGGCGCACTAGGGTGCACGCAAAACCCAAGGTTAATTGTCAGTAATTGCCGCTGGTAATTAAGGTAACAATAGCTGGGCTGTTCAGCTGGCGGCTGCAGGAGTGCTCACGAGGCCGGGCTGGGGTTTGTTCCAGGAGCTGCTCTTGGCATCAGTCGGCCGCCCCGCGCCGTGCCGTGCCCTGCTGCGCCCGCCCGGGGCTGGGGCTGCCCGGGCTGCCCGGCCGAGGACGAATGGCACTGCTGCCGTGGTCCCCAGCCTGCTCCCGTTACCAGGGAGCCCAGCCTTGGCCTTGGGATGCTGCCCGTGCTCCTGCCCGGGGCGGCAGGGCCATGGGCCACGGGCCACGGGTGCGCCTGTCACCCCTTTGGGCGGGCACTGGGTTTGCTTGGGGTGGGGGGTGGATGGTGCATCCCAGCCCCTTCCCATGCCCTGTGCTGGGCTGGGGGCTGCAGGGACTAATCCTGGCCCTGTTTCTGCTTCTTTGCAGGCTGTGACCCCCTGCTCCCCCGCCGTCAACTATGAACCGGTAAGCGAGCCCCCACCCCGTGAGCCGTGGGTGGCAGGCAGGGCTGTGGGGACGCTGGGTGGGATGGGACGTCCTGTTCTGCGCTGGGCACGGGGCTTTCTCTGCCTGGGGGCTTCAGGGTGTGAGTCCCCCGCCCCCAAAATCACAGGGGTCCCGTGCTGGCGGTAATGGCACCCCACCACTTTGGTGCTCTGCCCCCCAGCATTGCTGGCTGCAGGGCATCCCATGTCTGAGCAGCACAAGTTGGGGCAGACCAGCCGTCAGGGGACTCCTGGAGTTGGAGCTTTTGGGGAAGAGGGGCTTGTGGGGTTGCTGGGAGGGACAGGCAGATGGGACGTGACCAGCCTGGGCTCTGGGGTCCCCCGGCGCCGAGGGCCTCCCCTCCCTGGCCAGTGCCGGGGCGGTTTCTTGCATGCCCGGAGATGGCTCTACCAGATGTGCCTTTGGCTCGGGGCGCCCAAGGCCATGTGTTTGCAGCCCTTGTTATTGTCACCCGCTTCTTTTGTCCCTCCTGGGGACCTTTAATGAGCAGCCGGGGCCAGGGCGACGCACAGCCCTTCCCACCCTGTCCTCTCCGGACACCGGGAAAAGTGCTGGACATCCCATCTCCGTTCACCCCGTCTTGGGGAGGAGGGGAGCAGGGGTGATGGGTGGGCGGCCACGCTCCCTTGCCATGCTGCTCCTCGCCACGGCAGTGCTCCAGGGATGACAGTGCACGGGGATGGCGCCGGGAGCAGGACCATGCCCGGGGCAGAATTTTGGAAAGCGTGGCATGGTGGTGCCCACCAGGTAGCATCTTGCCGGCAGAGCAGCCCCCCTGCCCCGTTCCCAGCCCGGCCGTGCCCGTGGCAGTGGGCAGAGCAGGCACATGGCAGCGGGGAGGCTGGCATTGCCTGGGGCCGGCGCGGCCGCCCTTCCTTCTTGCTCCGGACGTGTGCCAAGGCTTGCTGGGGCAGGCGCCGGGGAGAGGAGGCCCTGGCAGAGTTTCAGCTCTGGGCTCCAGCAGCCTGGAAGTGCCGGGGTGGCTGTGCCCCACGCGGGGCCCTGGGCTGGGCACCCTGTAGCTGGGCAGGGGTCTCACCCAAAAAGTGGGTTTAGGGTATGGCCCCCTGCGAGCTCACGAGGGCAGCACATGAGCCCAAGCGTGTGAGGGGATGGGGTGGGAGCAGAGCATGCTGCCCGCCCCGGGGCCTCATGGTGGTTATCTGCCCTGGGTTTAATCTCTGCCTGCACACCCCCCACTCCTGCCAGCCTCCTCGGGCACTTATCACCAGCAAAAACATGTTAGCTTCGAGCTGGGACCGTTACTGCGGCTTCAGGAGGAAATCGAAAGGGGTTTGCCTCTGTCCCGCTGCCAGGACTGGAGCAGCCTGGTCTCTGTCCCCCTGGTCCCAAGACCCCCATAAGCCACCCAGCTGGGTCCCTTTGCTGCGCCACCCCCAGGCGCCCCAACCAGCTGTCCCCAGGCAGAGGTATCTGTACCCCTGCTCCCTATATTTGGGGTCTGGACACTCTCCCCAACCCCGGGAAGTTAATTCCTATTCCTGGCCCCATTTCAAAGCTCTCTGCGGACTCCAGTGGCGTGTCACCAAATTTGCCCCTTTTTTGAGCATCTCAGACCCCCACTCTGCTCCCACTGGGGTCCTTTGCCAGCCCCGCGGGGCCAGGTTTGTCTCGGAGAGCTGGGCCTGCCAGCAGCCAGGCTGGGTGTGGGACTGCGCCAGGCTCATCCCGTTGTTTACGTCCTGGCTGTGGGGTCTGACCCTGCAGGATCCGGATGGGATCCTGGAGGTTGGAGGGGGGCACCGGGTGCCCGCCATGGAGCGGGTGCAGGGTTTGGCTGAGTGCTCTCCATCCATGACAGCGGTCCAGCACGCGGGGCAGCTGCCGGGAGGCAGGATGGCAGCGCTCTCGGCACTGAGCATTGCCCCAGCTCTGGGCTTGCTCAAAACTTGGGTTTCGAGGGATTCCCGACCTTTAGGAAGAGCGGACATGTTGGCAGGCAGGGAAGGAAATGGGACCGTGGTGCATTTCCTAGGAAGGGCCAGAAATAGCCAGGGGGGAACTTTTGACCCCGGCCCCCGCTCTATGTGTGTGTCTCTCAATCTCTCTCTCCTTCTCTCTCGCTTGCCTTTTTCTCGCCCTCCCCTTCCTCCTGCCTGCAGCCGTCCCCAGGGGAGAGCATCACGAAGCAGGTAGACACCCCGGTAAGTGCTACCAGTTGTGGAGGCTGATCTCTGCCTTGAGACCTCCTGGAGGGTCACTTGTGCCTGTCCCATTGCCGCAAGCACTCCCCGCAGCCAAAATCTCTCAGTCTGGGATGGCCCTGTGGTCCCCCAACCTCCCTGGTGCCCCCCAGCCCTCCCTCCCTGCTAGCCAAGGTGATGATGGCCATGCCAAAGGCCAGGTGAGGTGCCCAGGGGTGGTGGCAGAGGCAGTGGTGGAGGCCAGTGGAGGGGGGGGCCGGGGCTTTTGCTGCAGAGCCGGCTTTCCTGTCTTGGAGCCGGGGATATGTTATTTAATCTGTGGACATGAAATTGCTAAGACAGTGTAGACAAACGCCCTGCCAAAATCAACGCGGACGGCTTCCCCCTGCCCGCAGCAAGCTCGACGGCCTCCCTGTGTGCTGGGGCTGCGACATGAGGGATGGAGGCAGAGCGGTTCCCACGAGGAAGAGGGTTAAAGCCTTCCTCACCTGGGAGCTGTCTTTCCCGCGTCTCTTTGGTTGTCCAGGCTATGTTTCTGATTCCTCTCCGAACTGGAGAAAGAGCATTCACATCTGGAAAAATCCAGCAGGACAGTCAGGAGCCCCCTTTGATGGCTTTGCTCTCTTTTGGGGGAAGTTTCCTGCTATTTCTGCAGCCTTTCTCATGCTTCGCATCACCCTTTCCAGGCAGAAGGGGCCTGCGGTTTTCAGATGCTGCCTAAAGCCTAGGGACATGCTGGGCCAGCCTGGAGCTGGGAGGCAGATGCTCGATGGAGCTGGCAGGGGGGTCTTCAACCCAACATGGCTGGGACCAGCCTGTCCTGTGCTGGGCTGGGCTGGGACATACTGGCTTGGCTGGGATCTCTGCTCCAGAGGGGACCTTTGCAGGGTCTCCCAGCCCAGTGATGGGCAGGAGTGTTTAATAACACGAGTGCTTGCTCCTATCAGCTGATTGTGGGCTGACTCTTCCTCGCACAGGGGCTGGCAGCAGAGACGGCAGTGTGGCTGCGGTTAGATCGAGGGGGGGGAAGTGGGGCAGAGCCAAGGGGCTCCTGCCAGGGCGGGGGACGCTGGAGGGCCCTGGCCGCAGGCACCCGCTCCCCTGGGCCGGGAGGGTGCCTGGAGCGGAGACGCCATGCCGTGGAAATGGATTAGCAAGGGTCTCACCACCGCCATCAAGGTATGGAGAGGGAGAGGGGCTCTGGCATCCCCCCCTTGCTCACCCTCCTGTGCCTCACGTGGGAGAGGGGGATGAGTCCTGGTTGTCCCATGTCAGCTCCTCCATTGGGCAAGGCTGTGGTTTGGGAGGCTGCTGCTGCTGGGCAGGGTGACGGGCTGATGGGGCTCCCCTGGCTGGTGGGTGCAGGTGGGGGACTCCAGATGTCTCCCGCTACGAAGGTTTGGGGCAGAGCAGAGCCCGCAGTGGGGATCCCATCCTGGTCACCGTTGGGTGACACAGGGACCAGCCCATGCTCAGGATCAAGCTTCTGCGCGCACCCTGGCTCTGCCCCGGGAAGGTTTTAACTTTTTGCTGCATTTTAACTCCTTCTTTGCCCCCTGTGATGCTGGGGGGTTTCTGGGGTGAGCAGGTGATTTGGGCCACCCTGAGGAGAACCTGGGGGGGTTCGTCACTGCTGCCTGAGCACCCCTGGGCACTCAGGCAGGGCTGCTGCCTCCTGGAGTGGTTTTGGCTGGAAGGGGAGACTGGTGTCCCCCAGCCCCGCGGGCTGCCGAGCCTGGGTCTGCTCTGCCAGGCAGCCTGACCTTGAAAGGGGGACGTGAGGCTGATGGAGGGTGATGATGGCTGCTCGTGGGAGCAGCCCTGGGACCGCGCTGGGTGGGAGATGGTGGATGAAGGGTGCTGGGAAAACCTCTCCCACCTTGTCCTGTCACCTCCAGCGTGCCAGTTGCGGGATGCTGCAGCCCCGAGGAGGGTGGCAGCAGGTCCTGCAGCTCTGGGGACAAAAAGGTCATCCCAGGAGCTGGCTGCGGGGTGCATCTCTTGTTTCTGGATCCTTCCAGGGGCTTGGGACGTGCTGCCTGCGGGAGATGAGTCTTTAAATGACTCCTGCTTATTAGCTGGAGATACTAAAACTAATGAGGTGTGAGTGTGTTTTTCCTTAGCGGTTTTTTTTGGAAACCCTGCTTTGTTTTTCGGCTGAGGTCACGAAGTCACTGAGCAAACCGGCTGCAGATGAAATTCTTGAGGCCAGAGAACATGCATAAATAGAAGTTTCCTGCTCTGAGATCTCAAACATTTCCTCCCGGCGTTTGGCTCTGCGGAGTTGGGGCCAAAGCAAACCGTTGTGCCTGGCTGGCTCCTCGCTGTTGCTTGGGCAGCGAACCTGCCCCTGCCCCGGGCAGGGCCAAAGCCACTCTGTCCTGCCAGGTGTGTGCCTGGGACCTGGCTGAGACTGGAGGGACTCGTGACATGCCTGAGACTGTCCCCGTCCCCCCCCTCAGCATCCTCCTCAAATGTCCTCTGGGACGCTGTGGCAAGGCACCAGCACCACAGTGCCCATGGCAGCTGGACCCAGCTGCAATGGGGTTGCGAGAGCTGGGTTTTGTTCCTCACCATGGTGGGGGGATGACGGTGCCATTGGGGCATTTGGTGCCACCAGGATGCTCAGCGGGTGGGGTTTGGAGATAGCGATATTTTGGGAGTGTTATGGTGCGCAGTGCAGGGTGGCGGGGGTGGGATGCTCTGACAGCACCATCACACCCAAATCTAGTAGGACCACTGTGCTGGCTGCAGGCTGAGTCAGAGCAATAACTCGCATTTCCTCTGTTGTTCTTTAGGATGCCGCAAAATCCCCCAGGAGCGGGCAGTCACGCCGCAAAACCTCCAGGTAGATGCCTCAGTTTCCCCTTCTGCTGACTGTCTCTGCCCTGCCTGAACCTTTCCCCCCACCAACACTTTGCTTCTCCAGATGTACTCCCATGGATGCTCCATGTGGAAAAGACACAGGGTTTATGACCCACCATCCCCAACTTGGGGTCCCCAAGACACCCCAGCAGGGCTGGGAGCAGGGGAAAGGCTGTGGGCAGCCTTGCCGCTGCATCCCCATGTCTCCCAGCCTGTCTCGCTTAACCCCAGGGGCCATGCAGGGTGGGGAAGGGTCACCGCGTCCCCTCCCCATGCTGTGTCCTGACAGCGGTCCTCTCCTTTGCCCAGGAGCATGAGCCTGACCTCAGCCATGGAGAGCAGCTGTGAGCTGGACCTGGTGTACATCACGGAGCGGATCATCGCCGTCTCCTACCCCAGCACGGCTGAGGAGCAGAGCTTCTGCAGCAACCTCCGTGAGGTGGCCCACATGCTGAAGTCCAAGCATGGGAACAACTATGTGGTGAGAGATACGGCCGGGTCCCCTCCAGGCTGGGGAAGGGGCTGGGGTGCTCAGGTCCTGGGGATGGGGTGCTGCAGGGATGGTCGCTGCTTCCTTGCCTCTGGCTGGGCTTGACTTTGGTGAGGGCGGGGTCTTTGCATGAAGATGGATGGATTTTTTCCTTCCTTGAAGCTTTCCAGTCACTTTTGCACTCCCTGGGAGTTTTTGGCCATTGCGTTGCCCTGTGACAAGGCGTTACTCGGGTTAATGTGTTTGGGGAAGCCTCTCGTGGGGGGATTTGGGGAGGCTTTGAAGTGAGGAAGAGGTAGGGGGTGGCAGCAAGGGAGGAAGATGTCCCCTCACTCTGTCTTTCCTCTTCCCTGAAGCTTTTCAATCTCTCTGAGCGGAGACACGACATCAGCAAACTTCACCCCAAGGTGAGTCGCAGCTGTGGGGAGCAGCGGGGCTCAGGGCAGGGCTGTCTGTGGGACCAGCTCCCTGCTGCAAGCTGTTTAGGGGAGGAACAGCCACGCTTTCTATCCCGCCCAGCTGGTGGAGGAGCAGGGGAATGAAAGCACCAAGACTTCCCGATGAGTCTGTGGGGTCTCAGCTTAACCCCCACCCCGTCCCCAGCCCAAACGTGGCTGTTGGGGCCTCTTGGAGACCTTCCTGAGGCATTGTCCCAACCCCTGTGAACATGGGGAGCTCTGGGCAGCTGAGCTGAGTGACCCAGAGGAGGAATGAGATCTGGGACCCTGATGGCCCCCCCAGGACATGGGTCTGAGCAGTGGGGTGCAGGGCTGGGGGAAAGGCTGGGAGGGGCACATCAGGGCAAGGCGGTGGTGCCCCCCCGCCCCGGGTACGTGCCTTGGGCTTTGCATGCCAGCAGGCTGGGGACTGCAGAGGGGGCAGAGCCCAGCATGAATGTGACCCCTGGCTGTCCCCCCCCCCACCACCCAGGTGCTGGATTTTGGGTGGCCTGACCTGCACACGCCGGCGCTGGAAAAGATCTGCAGCATTTGCAAAGCCATGGACACGTGGCTCAATGCAGCAGCACACAACGTGGTGGTGCTGCACAACAAGGTGGGCCGGACCCTGTCGCGGGGGCACACAGTGATGGGGGTCTGGGGGGCCGGGGGGCTGCAGGGCTGGGGCTGAGCAGCCTCACAGGCTAAGGGGTGCAGGGAACGTGGTGGTTTGTGGCTTGGGGTGTATGTAGGTGTCAGCGTACATGTGCGCTGGTTGTGTCTATAAGGGTTGGGGTGTGTGTGGGGTTCCGTGCACGTGTGTAGGGGACTGGTGTGTGCATACCTGCGTGCGGGGTGGCCGTGCCTGGGAGCTTGTAGGCACCGCTGCCCCCGTGACACCCCTTTGCTGTGCGCTTGCAGGGGAACCGTGGCCGGCTGGGAGTGGTGGTGGCTGCCTACATGCACTACAGCAACATCTCGGCCAGGTGAGAGGAACATGAGGTCCTGGGGTGGCCCTAGGGCCCACTGCTGACCTTCGTCCCGGCAGCGCCGGCGTGCTGGTGCTGATGCTTTTCTTCAGCCTCATCTACCCTTTCGTCCCCACAGCGCCGACCAGGCTCTGGACAGGTTTGCCATGAAGCGCTTCTATGAGGACAAGGTGGTGCCAGTGGGACAGCCATCCCAGAAGAGGTGGGTCCTGGTGTGCGTTTTGCCCCTGTGGCCAGGGTGGTTGGGTGCAGGGGGACCAAGGCGGGTGCTCCGTTGCGGGTCCTGCCCCTGAGCTGCCTGTCCCCCTTTAGGTACATCCATTACTTCAGTGGTCTCCTGTCCGGCAGCATCAAGATGAACAACAAGCCCCTCTTCCTCCACCACGTCATCATGCACGGCATCCCCAACTTCGAGTCGAAAGGCGGTAGGTGCCCTCCCCGCCTCTCCCCTTCCCCACACTGCCTGGCCAGGCTTGCTGTCCATGGGGGATATTTTCCACAATGTCCTTGGCAATTTGAATTTCCCTTTCCCTCTCAGGGACTGTTCCCTCTCTGTGACTGTTCACGGTAGCAGGGTGCTACCCTTTTCCCACAGAGATGCCCTCAGGGGGTGCCCCCCACCCCCTGACTCCTGGGGCTGGACACTAACTGGAGCTGTGGGGTGAGAAGGCTTTTCTGGTCGCTTTTTGGAGGATGACACCAGATTGGTGTTGGGATTTGGAATGTAGCACCACACCTGGTTCCGGTACCCAGAAGCAGTCTCTCTCTCAGAGACCACCGTCCCCATCATCCCACCTTCATCCCCAACCCAGTGCTTGCCCCAGGTCCTACAGGACCCAAACTGGGCTATAGGGGCTTTTGCCCTTTCCCACCCCATCCGGAGCATCCCTTTCTGCCCATCCCAGATGTTGCCCATGGCTGGTGTGGACCAGCCGGGGCGGGGAGAGACTGTTTGCCTTGGCTCCCTCCCTATTTGGATTTCTCCCCCGTGACTAATCCCTGCCACGGCCCCTCCGCCCTGCCGGCTAACAGCAGCGTGCCTTCTCTCTCCGCCTTGATGTCTTCCAGGTTGTCGGCCATTTCTGAAAATCTACCAGGCCATGCAGCCCGTCTACACCTCGGGGATCTAGTAACTATCTCCTCGCCGTGGGGCTTCCCTCCTCCCCAGCATGGGGGGCTTGGCAAGTGGGGGGAGATGGAGAGGGTCAAGGCCAAGTCCCCAGCAGTCCAGTGCCCTGCACTTAGTCTGTTTGGGGTCCAGGGAATGGAAAAAAGGGGGCTTCCTTTTCCTTGGAGGTGTTAACTGGCTATACTGGGCCATACTGGGCCCTTCTGCTGGGAGGGCTGTAGTGACTCTGCATATCAGCAGAGGGAGCCCGGGGCTGTGCAGAGCCTGGGGCTGGGTGTCCCTACAGGGAGTAGGGACAGGGATGGGGACACTTCCCTGGGAGATGGAGGCGTTTCTCCTCTCCCTGCCCAAAGTGCCGCTCTTCCTGCCCAGATTAGTCCTAAAAGCCCTCTTTTTTTCCCCCCCAAAAAAAGAGTTTCCCCCTGTTTTAACCTCCCCACAATTTACCCCAACACCATTTTCTGACACTGCTGCTTGGAGCAGGTGCTGGCGAAGGCAAAGCAGGAGCCAGTTTCTTCAGCCGCCCGGATGCTCTGCCAGGGCCACATCCCAGCCTGGGACCCCTGGCTCCTGGCCTTACTGGAGGGAGCACAGCCTCTCACCTCGGGGTTATTCCCATCTAACCCCCCTGAATGAGGATCTCCCTTCCCTGCAGCCGGGCGTCCCCGTTAGCTGAGATTTACTGCCATCCCAGCTTTCAGCTTTTAATAGGCTGTTTATGGGACGCCGGTAATAAACTCCAGGTTTATCTTGCCTGTGAAATCCAACTCCCTTCTTCCCTCGTCCCCCGCTGCCGACGCCACCGCCCGGAGGCAGCCCCTCGTCGCCCTGGTGAGGGGAGGGCTTCCGACCGGGAAACTGCGGCAAGGAGGGGAGCCTTCCCCGAGAGCTCTCCCTCCGCGTCCTGGGTCTGATAGCCCAGCGTCAGCACTCAGACCCAGGTCAAACCCTCCCACCTAGGATTTTTAGCACCCTCATTGAGCTGTGCCTCAGTTTCCCCTTCCTGTCCTCTTCCCCCTGGGAACGGGTACCCCTTGGGGTGGGGGATGGGACCCTCTGTCACCGAGAGGGCCAGCTCTGTGCTTTGCGCCATTCCTGGCTGGGTTTTGGGTGGAAGGGGCTGGTCGAGGTGGCACTAGGAGCTCTGGGGGGCCTCTGCACCACAGCTCATGTCTTCCTGCTGTCCCTCTCTGCAGCAACGTGCAAGGAGACAGCCAGACAGGCATCTGCATCACCATTGAGCCCGGCTTGCTCCTCAAGGGTGATATCTTGGTAAGGAGCCTTGGCTTAGCCCCCCACACAGGGAGCAGCTGGGGGATGGGTGGTCCTCATGCCTCAGGACACCTGGTTCCCCCTTGTCCAGCTCTGAGGGCTCATCCTGATGGCCCATCCCCACTCTTCTCCACAGCTGAAATGTTACCACAAGAAGTTTCGCAGCCCGACCCGTGACGTGATTTTCCGCGTGCAGTTCCACACGTGCGCCGTGCATGACCTTGATGTTGTCTTTGGCAAGGAGGACCTGGACGAGGCCTTCAGAGGTAACTGCCCCGGCACCTCCCCACTCTGAACTCCCTCCTCCACCTGCCCCTCTAATGCTGCTCCCGTCGCGGGGACATCTGGGCACCCACCCGAAATCTGCCCCTGATGAAGCAGGGCACCCTGCTCCAACCGCAGGGTTCTCAGGGACTGGTGGCAGCGTCATCCCCTTTATTGCCAAAATTGGTACTGAGGTGGAGGGGCTGCCTCAGGGTTGTTTTGGGGGCTGAGATGTGCTGCCCTGTGCCGGGATATCTCCTACCAGCTCCTGGCCTCGAGCTGGCCTGTGGGCATGTTTGGGGTGGTTGTCCAGGTGCTGTTGAAGGGATGGATTGAGATGGTCCCTCTGCTCTGCTCTCTCCCTGCCAGATGACCGCTTCCCTGAGTATGGGAAGGTGGAGTTCGTGTTCTCCTACGGCCCTGAGAAGATCCAAGGTACGGCTGGCTCACTGCCACAGGGGTTTGGAGCTGGATGCTGGCTCCTTTCCTGCTCCCCAGCTCTATTCCCTGCTGCTTCCCTTGCAACCTCCCCCTGCCCCGTCTGCAGTCCGTGTGTCACCAGGGTGGGATGAGGGGTCCAGGCAGCGATGCTGATCTAGGAGCACCCATGGGTGCCCTGTTGCTCTCACCCTCTTCCCCAGGAGACCGCTCTCTGCAGCACCTGCTGGCCTGGGAGAGAGGGAGGGGATGCTTGGGAACGGAGGACCCCCTGCCCAAGAAGTCCAGACCTAGGCACGCTCAATCTCAGTCCGTCTGCCTGTTCCTAGGCAATCCCAAAAGCTCCAGCCAGCCTTGTACACCTTGTTTGTGGGTCTTGATGTAGATCCCATGCCCATCCATATCTCTCGGTGCCCCTGTTCCTACATCACTCTCCTGCCTCACCCTATGATTCCTGCCCACCTTCTCTCCATCTCCTCCCCCTGTCCCACCCGTCCTGGCTCCATCATCACCCTGACTGACCATCCTGCCTCTTCCCAGGCATGGAGCACCTGGAGAATGGGCCCAGCGTTTCCGTGGACTACAACACGTCTGACCCGCTCATCCGGTGGGACTCCTACGAGAACTTCAACATCCAGCGCGAGGACAGTACAGAGGGCACCTGGGCTGAGCAGCCCCTGCCTGGCAAGCACCTGGAGAAAGGTTAGGGCTCACGGGGCGGTCGGTGGCGAAAGTGTCCCCATGGGAATCCCTCCCACCTCAGGGAAGGGGATGCTGGTGGGCAGCAGAGCTGGGGGCAGGCAACCGCTGCTGGGAGGATCGTGGCCATGGGGTGGGAGAAGAAGATCTTGTGCACTTCCCCTCTTGCCACAGTGCCAGGGAGCTCAGGCTCTTTTTTCAGTGCTTTTGCTCTCAAAGCCCTGTTTGCACAGAGCAGGGTCTAACCCCAGTTTATGCCCCAGAGCTTTGGGAAACCCAAACCCTGAGTCTGTCAGGAATGGTACCTAACAGGGGTACCTTTAGGTCTCCCAGCTCCTTTCTCACGGTGCAAGCATGGCGGGACGTAGCTGTGCCTCAGATTCCCCTGGGGGATGAGGATGCCTCACTGGCCCTGGAGAGTCTGCACCATTGCTCGGAGCTGGAAAAAGCCCCTTGAGCGCCCATTTGGATGCAGCAAGTGGGCTGCCCTCGCCTGCTTGGCGGGAACAGACAGTACTTGTATGTTGAAGGGTGGTAGGCCCCTGTCCCGGTGGCAAGGCCACCTGTGGCCGAGCAGATGCCTGAGCTTTCCTGGCCCTGTCCGACAGGCGTCCCAGGAGCAGGGACAGCTGCGGGCCCTGATGTCCCTGAAGGTCACCGGCTGCTCCGAGTGGGAGCTGTGGGCGGCCGGGCTCACTGGGGAGGGTAGGGGCTCTGGATGCCTGGGCTGGGTGAGGGGGTCTCTGCCCATGGTGGGGATATGGAGCCAGAGCTGGGGTGGCTGCGCGGAGCTGGCAGAGACACCTGCCTTGGCACAGGGAAGTAAACAGGCAACTCATGACGTGTGGGCTCAGCTATGCGGCAGGGAGCTGGATAGCCGTGGGTCCGGCCCTGAGGGGAGGGGATGTGTGCCCCCGCTGCGAGCTCAGACCATGGCTGTGCCCCTGCCCTGAGCTGGCAGGACTGGCTGGCAGCCCCCTCCTGCCTGCAGAGACCCAAGTGCCTCGGTGCATGTGTGTTTGCCTCAGGCCCCTGGGGCAGAGCTGCTGCACTCCCAGCCCCTCACAGGGCTGCAGAGGTACCCCAGGGCTTCTCTCTGTCCCCTCCTGGGGGTCTTGGTGGGTGTCAGGGCTGCGGAAGTCCCTCCATGCGCCAACTGGGCTGTCCTCCCCGTGGGGAGGGTGGCGATGGGGAATAAGGGCACTTTGGATCTGCAAATGCTGCCCCAGTTTGGGGATGAGCCAGGACTGCCGGAGGGCGAAGCCACAGGCAGGAGACTGCCCTCTGACCTGTGGCAGTGCCGGCAGCTGCGAGACAGCCCATCTGTAGGGGGTCTCCCCCCGGTCACCCCACGGGGCACCTTGAACAGTGGCAGGGAGAGCCAGCGTGGGCTCGGGGGGCTCCCGTCTTCCTCCCTCTCCGTCAGGACTTTCCCTCTTCTCCAACCCTTCCCAGACTGGGATGGGGACCCCGGTGCCCAGCTGTGTGAGGGGGGTCCCTGTTTATGGTTGTTCTCGCCTTATTTGGTCAGGGAATTGCACGCCACATTTTTGGCACCACCAGGCGCGAGCGAGTGGCAGCCGGGGGTGGAGGGGGGGTTGAGGCTGGCACCAGTACCCACACCAGGCTGGGATCAGCCGCTGCTCCTCGTCCCTGCCACTGCCCGTCTCTGCTGCTCGGCGAAGGCTCCCTGCAGACCGGCGCCGCAGCCCAGGCCGACGGGATCGGGATCGCCTGCCAAACGGTGGGTCCCCCCTGCACCGCGTCTCTGTCGGCCACAGCCACTCTCAGTAAAGGTGGATGCCCTTTCTCCGGCAGCTTTGTCTCAATGTGTGGCACCCATATGGGCTGGGGGGGTGCCTGACAGGGTGGGATGATCCTATGGGACCCCAAAGCTGGAGGGGCAGGTGGATGGCTGGGGATGGTGCCTGTCGTGGTGTTCCCCTTGCCTCCGCTGTGCTTATCTGCGGGGACTTGGGGAGGGGGAAACTGAATTGCAGCAGGATTGCTGGCTGACAAAGCTCCCCCCAGGGCAGGGGGCATGAGAGGGGGATCTGAACCCCAACATCTTGCTCTCTGGCCAGCTGGGTCCAGCAGGCAGGGGCTGCTCTGCGTACCACTCCTATGGCACAGGCTGGCCCCATTAGCGAGCTCACCCTCCCGCCTTACCCAGGCAGAGTCCCTGCTGTCCGCCGGGCTTGGGCTGCCCCATGGTCTTTAGCGAGAGTGGGGTGCGCTGGGATACCCCCACAGCCCTGTGCCACTGCCCGTCATCCGTCCCTGTGCGGCACGGGGGAGGCAAGTGTCTCTGCCTGCCTGTCTTCCTCCTCCTCAAAGGGGCTTTGGGGTCAGTGCTGGCTGCGTGGCGGGTTCCTGCTGCAGTCCCCATAGCCATCAGTTGGCTGAAGGGTGGTCATAGGGTGCTTCTTCCTTTGGCTATTTTTGGGATTCAGAAGTCCTTTATCCAGGGTGGATGAAGGATGCTTTGCCAGCACCGTGGTGGCTCTCCTCGGGGGGCCAGGCTGGCTCCAGGGAGGCAGGAGGAGACCTGAGGCTGGATGCAGCGCTGCTGGGTTTGCAGCTGATTGGAGAATTGGTGTAGGGAAATTTTTGGGGTACTGCAGAGGCAGGTGGGCAAATCTGGTTGGGGAACATCTATGGCCTGGTTTGGTTTTGCTGAGAAAATCAATGCTGATGGAGAACAGGGTGCTAGGGCTGGCACAGAGCCGGTGGAGGGGTTGTCCCCAGGATGTGTGACTGTAGTGGGGGGACACCAGGCTCTACCATCCTAGGGCAGTGTGAGACAATGCAGAAGGGCCAGGCACACGCCCCAGACCCAGCAGCTCCCTGTAAAGACCGGCCATTGGACCCACCCTGGCTGGTTCTGCCGCATCCAGCATCCACCCCCCACCCCCTCCTCCCACCTCTGTACCATCCCTGTCCCCACCGTGGGCTGGCCCTGCTCACCCCCCCCTTTTTACCGGGACTGGAAGGGGGGTGGCCAGGACCTGGCCAAATCCAACATCTGCAGGAGACTTGCTAAATCCCCACCTGAGTCATGGTTCTGGCGCGGGGCTCCCCTGCAGCTCAGCTCTGCACTCAGGACAGGGCTGGCCGGGGTGGGGAGCAGGATGAGCATCCCACCCCTCTGGGGATGGGAGGTCACAGCAGAGCCTGAACCCCACGTGGCAAAGGTTGGGGGGTCCCAGGGGCCGCCAAATCGAGCTGGATGCTGATCCTCCACCTTTCCATGGGGCAGCAAGCCCCTAGATGGGGTGGCTGTCATCCGTTGGTTCCCCAGGAGGGTGAGCATCTTGTGGGGTACATCTTCCCTAGTGGGGTCAAATCCTGCCCCACTTATCTGGGGCTGAGGCTGCCCAGGAGGGCAAGCCAGGCTGTGCAGACGTGGAGAGCCAAATGGGCCAGGCCAGAGCTGTTAAATCCATCGCCAGAGCTGCCGGCAGGCTGCTGCTCTCCCCCCGCGGCTGGATCCTGCTCTCCCCCCGCGGCTGGATCCGTCCTCTGGCCGGGCTCGGCGGGGAGGGGAGCCGCTGGCTCTCCTCTCCCCTTTGCCAGCTGACTAAAGCTGAAGGAATCCGCTTCCCCCTCCCCATCCCGCCCCTCTCTGCTGCTCTCTGCTCCGGCCGCAGCAAGGTAAGGGCTTGGCGGGGTGGGTGTTTTGGGGGGCAGCAGGGACCTGGCTGGGCTGGATGGGGATCCACGGGGAGTGTCTCCCCCTTGCTTCTGGTTATTCCCCATGGGAGAAATGCTAGAGCATCTACGGGCTTGGCTAGACATTTCGGCTGGAGCGTGGCTGCTCCCAGGGCAGGGTCTATCCTCTGACCTGGTATTTGGGGTTGTGATGTGGGGGGGTGATGGAGTTTGGTCCCACTGGGACTGGGAACCAGGCAGGGCTGGGATGCAGGGAGAGAGGGACAGGCTGGTGGAAGCTCAGCCCCTTCTCTTCCCCCTTTAAACCTTCCTTGAAGTCAAAGGCTGCTGGAGTGCCTGTGCGTGGTGCTGGGGCTGTCCCAGGGCAAAAAATAAAAAGGCAGAGAAGCAAGCAAACCTTGGAGGTTTGGGGAGGATGCTGACTTGGCGTGTGCCACTATCTGGGAGCAAACAGGGCTGTGAGTCAGGGGGCCGTCTGGAAACGCTGCTCTCATCCCCTGCCGTCATCCACGGGGGTGTGGGAAATGCATGATTTGGGGGATTAGAGTGGAGGGAGCCTTGCATTTTGCTGAGTGTGTTGGATCAATGAAGGAGTGGAAGCTTGAGCGTGGGTTCAAGCAGGGGCCCAGACATAGGGGGGCTTGCCGTTACCTGGACCAGCAAATCGTCAGCACCATCCCAGCACGGATTTTGCCTGGAATGGAGTAGCGTGGTTGCAGGCAGCTCTGGGGTGGACGGGATCCGTGCCGTGCCTCCTGCCATGGGACAGGGTGGCACGTGCCGTCCCGAAACCAGTGCTGGCGTGTCCATGCCGTGCCATGGTGCTGGTGGGGCAGGGAAGGGGGGTTGTGAGAACAGGTCGGGTTTGGTGCTGGCGGGGTCGGTGGCTCAGCGATGGCGGGTTTCCACTCCTCTTTGGCTGCGTATTTATTTAAGATGGAGAAAGTCGAGTGTCCAGCAAGACATTTGGGTTTGCAGACCCGGCTGGGTTACAGCATCACATGTGGCCTGAAAGGACATCCCCAACCCGAATGTGTCACTGCTTTTTGGGGACAGGTGTGACGTGCCCACAGGACCCGGGCAGGGCCGGGGGTCTCCAGCCTGGGGGGGTGTCACCCAGTGGGGTGATGCTCAGCACCCGGAGCGGGGTGGATAGTCTGTCCAGCGGGGTCCGTCCGTCTGTCTGTCGTGCCTAGGAAACAGTTAACGCGGCGCAGCCCTGCCTGTGGAGGAAGTAGTTAATATTCATAGCTAGGAACTGTCTGTCCGGCTGTCCTCCCTCCCTGGTGGCTCTCGCCCTCCCCGCACGTCGCTGGGGTTAACCCGGGCTGGGGCTTCGGCTTGGTCGGCCCCCGGCCGCCTTCCCCGCGCCTCTCCCCTTCCCCTCCCGCTCGCCCCTGTGTGGTCCGGGGAGCGCGACCGCACCTCCTCGCCTCCAGCCCATCTCCTGCCTCTGCCGCCTTCGTCTCCTCCATCCTCCCCCCCGGCACCCCGTGTCCCGGGGGTACCCCGTACCTGAGCGCCTCCGGCCCCCCGCTGCCGTCGGGGTGCCCCCCTCGCTGGCCCCGCGGGGCGCTGGGGAGGGAGTAGCTCCCTCTGCGAGAGGGAAAGCAAAGCCAAAGGGACAAACGCCAACCACAGCCAGCTCCGGGCTGTCAGCTCCTGTCCTGGACGGACACACGGAGCCGGCCGCGGACGCCGGCCGAGCTGCCACCGCACCAGGTTCCCCTGGAAGGCTCTGGTGCTGGAAGGGGCGAAGGAAAGGGATTTTGCTGCCCGCTCCTTCTCTTCGCCTGGGACCTTTTCTTCCCCGTCCCCTTTGGTAAGTCCTGACTTTGCTTTTCTTTGAGCTGGATGGGATGGGGGAAAGGGCTGCTGGTGGGTGGGGAATTCATGGCCGTGGTTACCCACGGCTCAGGGCTTGGGGTTACTTCTTGCCATCATATCTGGGTATGGGATGAAACCTGAGCTGGGGGGCTGAGCTCTTCCCCATGGGACTCAGTCCGCATCCTTCCTCCTACAAAGGGTCCCGGGACCCCAGGATCTTCCCTGCTGGCTGATGCTCCAGAGATGCCCTGGGACCAGGGCTCTGGGTGGTGGGGAGTGGAGGCAGCAGGTGGGATGCTGCTGGGGGCAGGACCAGGGGAGACACGGTGGTGCCCCATTCTTATCCTCTGCACCAGTGCAGAGCCCCAGCCAGGATTCCGTGGTGGTGCACGATGCTGTATGGTGCACACCCCACTGGGCATGAGGTGGATGGCTGGGATTTTGGGGATGCGAGCTGACCCCCCTCCGCCTTCCCCTTGTCACACGTGCCCTGGACCAGTTTTTCTCCCAGGCATAGCTGCAGGGTGCTGGGGAGGGAGAGGGCAGAGTGTTGCCCTGCCAGGGCAGCGAGCCTGGCAGCAGGGGTAGGACCAGGCTGGGCTCAGCGCTTCCTCCAGCCGCCTCTCTACAGCCAGAGCAGATAGAGCCGGAGCAAAGCTGTGTCGGGGGCTGAGCCCTGGGCAAACCCAACCCATGCTGGGATGGCACAGCCTGCCAGACTGGAGCTGCCCTGACCTTCAGGGACGAAATCTGACCTTGCTGGGAGCTGCAAACACTTAGCAAACAGGGGCCTGGGAGCCTGCTGCTTTGGGAATGGCTGCTTTAGCTAAGGCAGCCTGTCCCCCCTTCCCTTGGTCTTTTTTGGGGGATTTTATCCAACTTCTCAGGTGAAAAACAATAGACAGTCATGTCAGTGATAGCGTGGTCCAGGGGTGGTGGAGGGGGCCTGGGAGTGTTGGGAAATAGCAGGATTTGGCTCTTGGCATCAGAGCCCAAGGGGTGTGTGGGGACAAGGACAGGGTGGGCAGTCAGGTGTCGGGCAGAGCAGCTGTGGGACAAAGGCTCTCGGCTGATGGCAGAGGTGTCACAGCCCCTTCCTTGCTTGCTACCCTGGTACCACTCTTGGGGTCGGGGCCACCAGATCCCCCATGTCCCTGCCTGGCCAGAGGGTCTGGGAAAGGTGGGACAGGGCACTTGGGGCTTTCTGGCTCTGCTGTGAACCACGTCGTGCCCCATCCTGACCCTGCTTCGAGACATTTCTCCCAGTTGTGGGGTGGTGCCCAGCCCACAGTCTAATTAAAGCCTTTCCCATCTATTTTCTCCCTTGGCGCCACGTGCTTTCATTTATATTTATTTATTCCCCTTTCCTTTCTATTCCTCTGCCCTATTTATCCCAGCCCCCACCCTGGCTCTTGCCCTGTTTCCTGGGACTGGCCAGCACCCATCACTGCCATCAGACAGGAGGGCTGGGCCTTTTCCCCAGCTCCAGGCGATGTCTTAGCCTCTCCGGCATTGGCGCTGCCCCTGGACATGCTGCTTTTTCCTTTCTTCTTCCATGGGAAAGGATTCCCTCCCTCTCTCCCCCTTTTCTCCTGTACGGGAAGTGTTGCGGAGTCAAACGCTGCTGATTCCTGGCTGCACCGGCTGGATGAAGGAGCTCTGAGTCTCAAGAAGAAATTGTGGACCCCCATCCTCATCCTTTCCCGCACCAAGTACCCAGAGAGGAGCTTGCTGTGTGGTTCTGGGGCATCTTCAAGCCAATGGGGGGCTTTGGGGCTTGGCTGCGTCCTTGGGATGCTGCTTGCAGGGATTTGGGAGTGGAAAATCAGCAGCTAGGAGGGGGGCCCTGACTTGGTAGGACTTGTGCTGGGTGTTATTGCCCCTCTCTGATTTATGGCGAGGGGATTTGGTGGTGCAGGAGCTACCCGGGGCACGGGTGCGGTGGTGTGGGACTGGTTAAGCCGTCCCGGCTCAGGGCTGGCTTTCGGAAGTGTTTTGCTCGCAGATAGGAGCGCTCTGATTTCACACTATCGCGTTAGGGCCGTCTTCCGTCCCTGAGTCAGCCGCCTGGCCCCCTGCCAGGGAAGAGTCATTTTTTCCTCCAAAAGAAAGTGTTTAACACTGCTCGCGGGCCCTTCCAGGAAACCTCAGTGGGGAGCTGGAAAAGCAGGAGTCTGCAGCCTAGCCGGTGCTGTGCACACTCTGGTGGGGGGGACACACAGCTTGGGGGCTGTCCCCATTGCTCTCTTGGTGGCCAGGGTCCCTCTGTGTCCCCAAAATCTGGCTGCCCCATTTGGAAAGATTTAAAGGGCACAGCTGGTTGTGGTGTTGGGACTTCCAGGGGTGGTGGGATCTGGGGGGCTCTGAGCTGGGGTGCAGGGTTGCTGGTGGTGATGCTGCTGTGCCCTGGCTGCACCCTGGCTGTTGAGTGGAGCTGGCTGCTTGCACCAGCCTGGAATCACAGTGCCGGGGTGCTCAGTGCCTCTCCGGAGAGGAGATGTTTGGGGTTGGGCAGAGGCGCTGCCTGTGTGGGAGCTTTGGGGCAGCATCGGGCTGCAAGGATAGGTCTGGGGCAGCTCCACCCGGCCTGAGAGAGGGAAGGGGAAGGACAGAAAGGGTGGGAGCCTGTCTGTAGCCAGGGAAGAAAATGTCAAGGATGGGCGGCTGGCTGGATCCGTGCATCATCTGGGAGGAGAGTGGGCAGGGAGAGGGAAGGTGGGTCTGTGGTTCATCTGTCCTTCACCCGTGGGCTGAGTACATCCATCCAGCTGGAGACATGCAGAGCTATGAGGCCAGATCCTGAGATCCTGACTGCCTCCGCCCATCGTCCTATGGCCAGTGGTGCATCTCCCCCACCCTCCCCGTTTGCCTCCCCGGTGCCGCGTGGCCCTTTGGGGCCAGCTGAGCCTTGCGGAGCAGCGATGGCCGACTGTGTGGGCAGCCCCAGCCCTCGCCAGCCATGGAGGGGAATTGCCAGGAACAATGTCTGGAACTGGGAACGGGGGGGATATTTGGTGAAACCCAGTGGAGCAGGCAGTGCTTGCAGGGCAGGGCAGGACAGCATGCGGAGTGGGGGCTGTAGGGGCATGGGGATGGGGGGGGTCTGGCTCCAGTGTCTCTGCATGGTGGCGCCCGTGGGATTGCGGAGGGTGCCGAGGAGACGGCGATGCTGGTCATTAAGCGTTCCGGCGGCACGGAAGAGATCGAAACCACCGGCTAATGGGACCCATTAGCTCCGTGCAGAGAGCCAGCAATTGATCTGGGGTCTCGTGTTCATTTCTCCCCTTGCAGAGGTTGGGCACACGCAAGGGCCCCTGGATGGGAGCCTCTACGCTAAAGTGAAGAAGAAAGACTCCCTCCACGGCAGCACCGGCGCCGTCAACACCGCTCGCCTCCCGCTCTCGGCAGCACCCAACCACGTTGAGCACACGCTCTCGGTGAGCAGTGACTCGGGCAACTCCACCGCCTCCACCAAGACTGACCGGACCGATGAACCGGGGGTGCCCGGGGCGCCCAGTGGCCAGGCGGTGCTGAGCCCCGAGGAGAAGCGGGAGCTGGATCGTCTCCTCGTTGGCTTCGGCTTGGAAAGCGCGCCGCCCATGCACAACCACGTGCCCGGCCCCATACCGGCGCGCCTGCCCGCCATGCCAGGCCGCCACGTGGTGCCGGCTCAGGTGCACGTCAACGGGAATGCCGCGGCGCTGGTGGCGGAGCGGGAGACGGATATCTTGGATGACGAGCTGCCCAACCAGGATGGGCACAGCGTGGGAAGCCTGGGCACGCTCTCCTCTTTGGATGGCACCACCACCGCTAGTGAGGCCGGCTACCAGGAGGCACCCCGGGTGGGCAGCCTCTCCTCCCTGCCCAACGGCCCCTCAAGCTGCAACGGGGCTGAGAAGCTACTGAAGGAGGGGCTGTACGATGGTGAGCCGCTCTCCAACGGCGGCTACCCCTACAACAACCAGAACGCCCTGATGGGCCACCACCTCCGTGACCCACTGCCTTCCTTGCGGCCTTCAGCATCCACTCAGGACCACCTGGCCGGCTACCCGCAGCGCCCGCCAGGCTCCCATGCACCGGGCTGGCTCCAGCCCCAGCCGCTGCCCAGCTCCCAGCCCTACTTGTATGGCTACGACCCCCCCGGCACCTACCGCTCCCGGTCCTTCCCGGCAGTGGACACAGCCAAGTACGACACGACCCCGGCGCTGCCCCAAGCCCCGACTCGCAGCACCAGCAGCCGGGAGGCCGTGCAGAGGGGCTTGAATTCCTGGCAGCAGCAAGGAGGGAGCCGGCCGCCTTCCCGGCTGCAGGAGGGTGGCATGGAGAGCCACAGCCCCAGCATCTCCAGCTGCAGCCCCCAGCCCAGCCCGCTGCAGCCAGTGCCGCCACACAGCCACAGCATGCCTGAATTCCCCCGGGCGCCTTCCCGCCGGGAGATCGAGCAGTCCATTGAAGCCCTCGATGTCCTCATGCTGGACCTCGCACCCACCGTCCACAAGTCACAGAGCGTGCCCGCCACCTCCCGCCAGGACAAGCCGGGAGGACCCCTGCTCTCCTCCCTCTCTGCCCAGCCTGTCACTGGTCTCTATGCCCGGCCGGCTCCACAGGTGGCCCAGCCAAGGTCCTTCGGCACCTCCGTGAGCCCTGTGGTCTCCGAGCCTGGGGGCAAAGCCTGTTCTCCCAGGGAGCCGGACTATGGGGTGCACGAGTACCGGGAAACCTATTTGCCCTACAGTTACCAGCAGGCACCGGTGCCGGAGCCGAGGAGCTACAGCCAGGCCCCAGCTGGAGCACCGATGGGCATCCTCCCGCTCAGCACCTCCTACAGCCCCGTGGGGTCTCAGCAGCTCCTCATCTCCTCCCCGCCTTCCCCCACCGTCCCAGCACAAACCCAGATGCCCCCCAAGGGACTGGAGAGCTATGAAGACCTGTCGAGGTCGGCAGAAGAGCCCTTGAATCTGGAGGGCCTGGTGGCCCACAGGGTGGCAGGTAGGATGCTTTGATTCCTTGGGGGGGGGGGGGGGGGGGGGCCGCGATGCCCAGGAAAACTGGAGCCCGCGGTGGTGGCGTGCATGGTGGAGCCAGGGATGGGAGATGCGGCGACTCCTCGTCCGTGCCGGATCCGGGCTTGGGACTGAGCCACCCGCCGTGGGGGCATGCCGGGCAAGGGGGCAGCCTGTGCCACTCTCCTTTGCCGAGAACCCCCCTTGTAGCTCGCCGTCTGCAGCAGCATCGCTCAGAGGTGGGGAGAAGGGGTGGCCGAGGGGGTCGGGCCCCCCCATCCTCACCGCTTTGGGGTGTGGGGCTGGTCTGTCCCCTGCAGCAGACCTGCTTCCTGCGTCCCGGGGGGATTTCTCCCTTTCAGGGAGAATATGGCCCAATTTGGGAAGATGTTTTCAGCTCTGGCTGAGGGTGTCCTGCCTGGACCCCGCCTTGGACATGATGCTCTCCTTGCCTGGAGCGTGCTCTGGTGTAAGGTCCCAGGAGAGCATTTGCCTTGTATTTAACATAGCTGGGCTCCTCCCTGGTTTCAGTCCCTGCTTTCCCTGCAGTGTGCTGGGCTTGGTGCTTGGACCTTCTCCCCGGTGCTTGGACCTCCTCCCCAGGCAGCCGGGGTGCTGCCGGAGCAGGGGTGCCAGGGTGCAGGCTGGCAGCAGCCTTTCTGCCCTGGTGGCCCAACCAGCTTGGCCCTGGGTGGTTTGAAGCTTGACCTGGCCTTGGGGCAATGATCAGGGGCTGGGAAGGCATTTCCCAGCCCTGCCAGAGGGGTTTGGTGCAATGCTTGGCTGGGTGCAGCACCAAGCATCAGTGCTGTGGCTACATGAAGGCTTTTGCTCCGTGCCACAGAGGGGAAACAGTGTCTTCTGACTCCCTGCCCTCCCACGGCTCTGGCCCTGACTCTGGGGCTTTGGGGACGCAGAGGGTCCCAGCCCCGCAGGAAGGAGGTGCTGTGGCCCTGCGGCAGCTCAGTGCCCTCCCTCCCTACTGCTTCGGCTGCAGTTGTTGAATTGTGGAGCAACATTTGGGAAGGGTTCGGGGCTGCGGCCAGGCTGGGGGCCAGCTCGTGATGCTGGGGCTTGGCAGCTCCAACCCTTCCAGCTCTGCGCTCAGTCCAGAAACTCACCCGGCATTAGAGGGAGGGGGAAAAGGCTTGGCTGGAAAAATCCAACAGCATCAACCTTCCAGGCGTGGGGGCTGAGTCACTGCGGCACTGGGGTGGGGGGCAGGAGGGGTGCCAGTGGCAGGGAGGGGTGGACGGTGGAGATGTTGAGGGCAGTTTGCATCCTTCCGAACCCAACTTCAGTGATCCAGGCCAGATCCACAGAGGGACTCAGGGCTTGTGCGGAGGGTTTAAACAAACCCAAGGACACATGGATGCCCAAACCATGTTGTATGTCTGGACTGAATATTATAAGGACCAGATCCTCCCCCCCAACCATGGTGGGGGAGAAAATGGGATGAAAAGTGGAGAGCCTTTGGTAGAGGAGGAGCAGTATTTGCAGTGGGTGGGAAATGGATGTTTGATAGTGTCTACCAAAAATGCATCCCCTGCAACCCTGGGGTCAGGTCCTCAAGGCTGGGTTGGGGTCACTCTCATCTCCAAGCAGCCGCTGGGCTTCCCAGGAAAGAGAGGCATCCCAGGGACGGTCCCCAGCCCACGGCCACCTGTCTCTGCTGGAGCTGGGCTGTCTGTGCCGAGGCGGGGACAGCGCGGGCAGGCAGCCTGACCTCCGGCGGGAACAAGGTGTCCTGAAGCTGGCGCCGGGAGGGGACGGCTGATGGGGACAGTGGGGCATGGACGGGTTTGTTTACATTCCCTGCTGCTATAAATTGCCTGCGTGTCCCGGCACAGCGATGAGGAGCATCTCACACCTCCTCCATGCCCTGCAGGGAGCACTCCTGTTCCCGCTTCCTGCTGGTGATGGAGGGGACCGCGCTGGTGTCCCCAGCGCCTCCCTGCAGAGAGGAGCTGGTCCTGCCATCCTTCAAGTCCCCATCATCTCCCAGTGAGGCATCTGGGGCCATCTCTTCTTGTCCCAGCCCTGGGCATCCCATGATGGAGGGGACCTGCATGGTGCCATCCACAAGGGGACAGTGATGGGCATTTATGGCATTGCCCAAGGCCACGTGTGGCTGGGAGCCACCACTGATTTCCCATGTGGGTTTAAGCAATGCCTGGAGCCAGGCAATTTAGGTGATAGGAAAGCAGCTCCAAGGTGGGTCTGAGCTTCCTTGGACCCCAGTCTCATCTTTTGGAGCCCATCTAATATTTTCTCTTGTTTTCTCTCTCTGTCTCCCTATTGTATCTCGTGACATTTGTCTTGTCTTGCCCCTTCCTCTCCCCATGGGGGACTGTGTCTGTCCCGTGTGACCTCCTACCCTCCTTGCACCCCCTGTCCTGGTACGCTGGCAGAGTACAACGCCAAGCTCAGGGACCTCAACAAGAGCACCAAAGCCCCCCGTCCTCCTCTGAACCAGCAACGGTCCTCCTCCTTCTCCGGTTTGTTCATTCTACCTCCCTCCTTCCTAGTCCTCCTTCCTTCCCCATCCATCCTTCTCCTTCCATCCCTCTCCTCCCTCCTTCCTTCTCATCCTTCCTTCCTTTTCCCTTCTCTCTTCTCACTCCTTCCCCCTCATCTCTCCTTCCTCCCCTATCTCTGCATGCTGAGTGCTCTGTGTGTTGCATGGATGTGGGATGGAGGGAAGCTTGGGAGACCCTCCCCATGCAAGCTTGATCCCCTTTCTCAGCATGGCAATACTTAGGGCATCCCTTGACCTCCTCCGGTGATGGGGAAGCCCCTGGCCCTGGGTGCAGACTCCCCTGCCCACACTTGATTTTGCATCTCATCCAAGCCTGGCACTGCTCTCTGGTGGAGTTTCATTGCTGGGCCAGATCTGGACCCTTGCTCCAGCCCCTCTGAGCTTTGCCCTGGCTGTGGCTTATGCCTTGGGGAGGCAAGGGCTGGGGTGCAGCTCCACAGACCCCAGGTTCAGCCAGTTCCCAGCCTGGCAGGGTCTCACCTGCCTCCATCCTGGGGTCCCCATGGGTCGGTCTGCAGCCAGGGGATATGGGCCGTGGAGGCTGGATTTTAGGCAATGTGACTTTTGCTCTGGGCGACGGGTGCTGGGGACCCGCTTGGTTTGCACCCACTTGTCCCGAGGTGAGCAGGAGGAGAGGGATGGAGAGGGGCTGGGGGCAAAGAGTGGGCTGGGGAGTCACCAGCTTTCTGGGTGACCTTTCTCTCCCTGCTGGCACTTTGGGTTTCTCCCCAGGAGGACCAAAGAGGTTTGAACCCTCCCAGTCCTTGATGCAGAGTAAGGTATCTTGTTGTGCCTGTTTGCGGTGATCAGGCTTGGAGGTGGGGGTCTGTGCCCGGTGGGACAGGGTGAGTTGGGCTCTGGCAGAGAGCAGTACAGGGCAACGTCTGCTGCTGTTCCTCATGCAGGCAGGGAGTGAGTTTGCATCTCTTTTCCCTGGGCGTAGTGTGTCCTGGTCTGGCTTTAACTGCAGGGTGCCGCATCCCGAGGGCCATGGGAGGCTGCTTTGCCCTCTCCTCTCTACTGTGGGGGTATTGCCCAGCTCTTGCCTGACAGTAGCTCCAGCATCTCTTGCCCAAAAAGCAGCTGCCTCCTGATTTGGCCTAGAAACCTGACTCCCCAGCCATAAAACCACCTAGGTTTAAATCCCTCCTGTTTCCTCCTCCCCTGGCTGTTGTGCTCCTGCCCTTCCCCAGCCCTAGAGCTGTGCTGAGTCGAAGGGCAGGACCTTGCTGGGGGAGGGTTGTTGCCAGGTTAGGGAGTTAAATGGGTAGGAGAAGGGGTGGCAGTGCCAAAGGTGGTGGGGGTGACGGTGGGGAGCAGGTTGCAGGCTGCTGTTCCCCCTTTGTGATGGGAACCCCACCCCGCGCCCCGAGGCTGGCAGGGCATCCTTGGGGGGCTGGTGGTGGTACTGTGGCTAAGGGAGGCTGTATGTCTGCTGAGGGGGCACAGCGAGTGAGGGAAAGGAGAGTTTGTTTTTCAAGCGTACTTTCCAGCCCATAAATCACCCAGGGGGTCGAGAGAGCCGTGCTTAAAGCCTGGGTTTCCTCCAGGCTTTGCTCCGGGCGGCCCGTGAAGTTTCCCACTCTCCGCTCCCGAACAATGAGTCCCTTTTTTCCCCTCTCCTCCCTCCCCTCCCTGCGGCCCCGGCCGCTTTCCATGTCTGGGGAATGGAGCAGCCAAAGCCCGGTGAGCTCCTGGGTGTCCCGATGGGCCAGATCCAGCACCCTGTGGCTGGTTGACGTGCAGCCCTGGGGATGAAGCTGGGGGTCCCACGCTGCAGATGTGTGATGTGCACTGACAGCTGAGCTTGGGTGAGCTGCTCTTTTTGCCTCCCAAATGGAAAATGCAAAGTGAGGCAGGCATACATGACTTGGAGCCAGTCACTGCCTCTCTGCAGTGCTCAGTCACTCCAGCTCACTTTGGGATGGGCCAAGGGGTGCTCCCAGTGATGCTCTTGCAGCATGCAGGATACCCCACAGTGCACAAAGTGGAAGGATAAAAAGAAAATACAAGAGTTTGCTTTATTTTTCCCCAACATTTTGTTTCTCCCTATGCTCACAACTCAGGGTTTCATTCCCTTAAAGTGAAGAGCAGGGCAAAAGATATAGGGTGGCCCTATACGATGCTGCCCATGCCTGCAGGGCAGCTTCCCAGGGACCCACTCCATTCCCTGTCCCCTCCACGGGCCTTTTTAATGGCCATCCCCCACGCCGGCGAGCACCTGCAGAAGGGATCGGGAGTTGTGTTTCAAAGCCGCTCTTAGTGGAATTTTCCAGGCTGCCTCCGCGGCTGGAGCCAGCCCCGTTGGCTCACGTCCCCCGCCTCGCAGCCCGGCCGCCTCTCCCCCCCCCACCCCGAGCCGCGATTTTATTGTTGTTGCCATTTACTGGGCTGATTATTTAGAAATGCACCCAGGCCACCTCCCGCGCTCCCAGCCCTTTCTCCGCTCCCAGCCCTTTCCCCGGGGCCAGGAAAGCTCCGGTGAGGGTGCCGGAGTGGTGAAGAAGGGAGGTCAGCGGGTGTGAGGCGTGGGTCCCGCACGGAGCCCCGGGGAGCGAGGGGAAGCAGCTGATGACTGGTTTTCCTCCGCCAGCCCGTGGGAAAGGAGTTGGTGTTTGAAAAGTGCATTTCCTGGAGCGTGATGCTGGCCTCTTTCTTTTTTTTCTTTTTTTTTTTCCTTTTTCTCTTTTTTTTTTTTCTCCTTTTTCTCTTTTTATTTTTCCCCCAATGTGCTGGCCAGGGGCCGTGTGAGTGCTCTCTGGCTCCATGGAAAAGGTGGAGGGGATGGTGCTGTCACCTCTGCTAGTGGGGCTGAAACCAGGGGTCACCCCACTGTTGTGTGGGTCCCAGGGAGGAGTGGGAGTGCTGCGGGGCTCTGAGCTGCACCCGTGATGCTCTGCACGCTTCCGCTGCACTGAACCCACCACCATCATCCCTAATTAACCCCTTTGTCAGGTGAGACAGGGTGAAGAGTGTGTTTGGGCTCCACTGGGTGCTGGGAGAGTTGCGGTTGCACCCCTCATCCCAGCCCCCCACGCCTCCCCTGCCCTGTGCTGGCTTTGTCCTCATTCCTGGGCTTTATCCCAGCCCACGGGGATCACCACTGGGATATACCAGACCCTGACAGCCTGGAGAAACCCATTCTCCCGCAGTAACTTGCTTGCTCCCTTCTTCCCCCAAGGCTACGGGCACCAGTGGCTGATGGCACTGGGGTCTGGGAAGAAGGTTTAGGGGGAGATGGAGAAGAGATGCTGATCTCCCCTTTTAGGAAGGCTTCATGCTGGGGGTAGGAGATCAGCAGTGGTTTGCTGGGGTTCCCTGCACCATCCGTCTGTTGGGGTCCTTCCTCCCAACCCGGTGCTCCGTCTGCCTTTTTCCACTGCTGTGGTAGAAGCCGCATCCAGCTACGTGACCAGGGAAGCAGCCGAATGCAGCTGCCCTGGTGCTGGGGGATTCAGCCCTTTTGCACTGTGACACTGTCGGGAGGTCCTGGTCCTCCCCAGCTCTGTGGGGCTGGGCTGCTCTCAGGATGCTCATGCCCCTCGCACCCGCTGCTGGGGGTTGTTGTCCCTGAGCCCAGGTCTCATGGTGCTTGGGAGGGCTAGTGCAGCAATCCAGCCACTAGCCACAACCCTGCCTTGCTTTATTGCTTGGCCCCAGGCCACCATTGTAAGATATATCTGCTCCAGTTCAAAACTGGCTGTGCTGGTCTGGGGGTTAGATGCAGGTGAGTGCTGAAGCTGCCATCTCCGCTGGGCAGAGCTTCTCTGTGGCACACAGCCCTGGAGAGACCGCTCAGATTGGCCCCGAAGCATCTCCTGCTGGTCCCCATCTTGGCCAGCGGCTCCTCAACCACCTCCCACCCTGTGCTTGCCCCCTCAGGGGTGCAGTCCCGGGAGAAGCCCCCGGAGGAGAGTGCCGTCCCTGCCCGCAAGCGGACCCCCAGTGACAGCCACTATGAGAAGAGCTCACCGGAGCCCAGCTCGCCGCGCAGCCCCACCGTCCTCTCGCCTGAGGTGGTCAGCACCATCGCGGCCAACCCTGGAGGGAGGCCCAAAGAGGTTCGTTGGGGTGGAGGGTGTGCTGGAGTGGGGGGGAGGCTGATGGGGCAGATGCCTCCGGGGAGGGAGAAGGCTTGGAGGGGGGTATGGGACTTTTAGCGTCCGCAGCATCCCAGAGGGTTGGGGGTCAATGGTGCTTTTTGTGGTGGTGGTGGTTGTTAGCAGGGAGGAGGTAGAAACCTTCTCTTTGCCCCCTCTGCTCCCTCCTCGGGGTGTCCTGGAGGTTTCTGCCCATCATAGGGGACTGACCCTTTCTCCTGCTCTCCCCAGCCTCACCTCCACAGCTACAAGGAAGCCTTTGAAGAGATAGAGGGTGCCTCCCCTACCAGCCCACCCTCCAGCGGCGGTGAGATTTCTCCCCCCACCCCAGCCTTCCCTGTCTCGCCACAAACCCCTTACTCCAACCCCTGTAAGTGCCGCGGCTCCGGGAGGCAGAGGGGCTCAGTGGGTGGCTCTCGGCAAGCCAGAAATTTGCCAAGGGTCAGACAGCTCCGGGCTCCAGACACCCACCGCCACATTAATCACTCCTCTCCATCCTCCTCTCTCCTCTGCATCCCACCACTCCATGCTGCCATCAGCATCCCTCTGCCAATAGCATCCCATGCTCGGCACCCTCCTGTTGGCTTTTTCCCACCCTCCACTCATTGGGGCGTTTCTTGGATGGGATCCCAAGGTGGGATAAGGAGAGAGGCAGGGTCTGAGACAGCATCCTTTTACCCCATCCTGGTCCTGCACCTCCCCATCTTTCCTACTGGCATGGCAAGAAGGGCAGCGAGGCTGCGATAGCAGGCGAGTGGTGGGGAGGCAGGAGGGACTGAAGACCGGGAGGGGGCTCGGGGCAGACCCTTGCACGCTGTGCCACTTCTCGCTCACTGTTTCCAGGGCAGGAGGGGAAAAGGCTGGGAGATGCCAGCCCTTTGCATGCAGTTTGTCTACGCTCCTCCGGTGCAGCATGCCTCCTTTCTGACTAACCCTAACTGTGCAGTTGCGGTGGGTTTGTGTGGACCTGGTTTATGTGATCGGCTTGAGCAATGAACCCCAATGAGCAGCCTCATGTCGGCACAACATGAGTCAGGCTGGACCAGTGCAACGGAGCAGCCTGTCAACTGGGAAACCCATCAAAAAAGACAGCAGCCCCCCCCCCGCCCTCCCCCAAAACACTTTTGTAGCCTGGATGCTGAGGGATGCCCTAGGGCTGGGCATGCTCAGGCTGGGCACAGCCACCTCTGATGCCACATCCTAGTCCCAGTGGGGCTGCCTGCCCCCTGTAGCTCAGCCCATGGGGCTCAAGGCTGTTTCCTTCTGCTCTCTTGCTGTTCTTCCCCTGCAACACACTGGCGTTTGAGCCCCATCTCATGGGAAGCAGTGACTGGAGTGTGGGAGCATCTCTGGGGCATTTGGCAGCTCGGAAATAGCCCTGTTGTTCCAGGGGACCTGGAGAGCTTGGTCCCAGGGCAGCAGCTCCTTGGCAGTGGGACAGTGGCTCCTTTTGGGGGATGAGTCACTTGCGGAGGTGACGGGGACATGGCCTGGAGGCAGTGCTTCTTATCCAGTGCCAGCTGGGGAGGCCTGGGAAGTTTGAAGCTGCAGCTTGCAGGCTTTGCTAAAATTCCCACTGGGGGGGATGCAGGAGCGATTCCCCTCCATGGGGAGATGGTGGTCCTGGGGGAATTCCCAGCCCCGGAGGACCCCGCTGCTCATCAGCCAACAGAGGCGTGAGCTGACATTGTGGCTTGCACCCGACCAGATGTGGGGAAATCAGACACCCGCCAGGGAAGGCGATGCCCTCTCAGTTTCCCAGGGGCTCGGCTGCTCCAGCCCCAGGCTGCTGGGGGCACCTGGCCTCCAGGTGAGGGTCTGGCTTTCCTCTGGAGCTCCCACCACCCGCTGCCTCCCAGCCTCGCCGTGGGCCCTGTGCTCATGCCACCAGTTGGGGATGTTCAAACGCTGATGGAAGGATGTGCCCTCCAGTCCCTCTTGCTGGAGATGAGACCCTGGGGAGATGCAGCATCAGGGAGATGGGTCAGGGGGCAGGAGGGGAGAGGAGGTGCAGTCAGCTCAGGGAGGTCCACCCTGCCCCATGAAACCCTGCCACCCCACACTGCCAGTGCATCCATGCCATAGCCATACATACATACGGGGTTCCTCCTGCTATGTACGTATAGGCCCAGAGGTACAGACCTCATGTGTGCATTGCCACCCCTCGGGGAACATGCTCACACCCCCGTCGAGCTGGTATGGAGGGTGGGGGTTTTTTGGCAGTCCTGCTGCACTTTTCGCGGGGGTGATGAGCTGCTGTGGGACAGCCTGGTCCCAGCTCAGCCAGATGTGGGGATCAGCAGGGTGGGGTTAAGGTTTAGGAGAGCTGGGTTGGGGGGATGGCTGCTCACGCAGGAGCAATGAAGGACGCTTCATGCCTATGGTGGGACCATTCCCTTATGGGGATGGTGCTGGGAGATGGGGTCTGGGCCTGTCCTGGTGGGATTTGCCCCCTTTCTCCATCCTGCTAGCCCTGTGATGGGGCAGGCTGCTTGTTCCTGGGCACCTCCCACCCTGTACCCTCTCCCAGATGGAGAGAGGGATCGGTGCCCTTCCCCGGGACGTTGCTTCATATGAGGGCATCTCCTCTTCCCGGCAGCCCCCAACTGCAGCCGGTGGGTGGGATGGGTCATGGGGGCTCTGAACACCTGGGCAGCTCCAGCCTTTCTGAAGCTTCACCTCCCACCCTTCCACTAACGCTCTTGTGTCCCCCATGCTGACAGTGCGTTCTCCCCCCGGCCTGGCCAAGACCCCGCTCTCAGCACTGGGGCTGAAACCCCACAACCCGGCCGAGATCCTGCTGCATCCGGTGGGAGGTGAGTGCAGGCATGGGGGCTGCTGGCGGTTTTTGGGGCGGGGGGTGTGTGCAACTGTGAGGATACCCCTGGAAGGGTCTCCTGGCTGGAGAAGGCACTTCTGTCTCCCTTTTTGGGCCAGTTGGCCCTGGGGTCCTTGTCATCTCCTGTGGGAACTATGGGACTGTGTGAGGGTTGGGGGGATGTTGGTGCTGCCCTGGGGGGCTCAGCCCAGCAGGGTCTTCAGTGGTGAAGGCTGGAAAACCCCAGGGTCTTGCCTCCTGCACAGCCCCATATTCTTCCCTCCTCACCTCCTCCATCCCTTCTCTCCCCCAGCACAGCTGGAGAGGGTTTGCTCTCTGGGAGCCAAGCTGGAACAGTATCCAGAGCCCTCTCCATCCTGGAGAGTGATCCCCGGGTGCAAAGCCCTAGCTGTCCTGGGGACATGTCCCAGAGCAGCCTGCTGAGCCAGACCTCGCTGCTCCCCAGTACCTAGGTCCCCTTCCTGGGCCATTTTAGGGCTGAGTGTAACTTCCCCAAAACCCAGCTGAGCCTGGGGGGCACAGCTTGGCTGAGGCCACCCAGTGAGGCCCTTCTCGCTCTGCCCTCAAGGACAAGCTGATGCTTTTTTGGTGCTTGCCGGGCTTCTCAGAGCAGCCCTTCGTGGTGGCTCCCTGCTGGGCGGTTCCCTCTGCCCTGCCCAAAACCAGCCTCCTGGGTTTTGGACATCATCTCTGGGATGCCCAGGTGGACCCTGGGGGTGTCCAAGGCCAGGGCTCCAGTTTGGGGCACAGTGTCTGGGAGGTGTGGGGCTCTCCTTTGCAGTCTCTGCCCCTGCCTGAGCAAGACAAAGCTGCTTAACTCTGATTTCTCTTTCTTTCTGTCTTGCATCTCCCTTCTTCCTCCTCTTCCTGCTCCCATTGTTCCCCTGCCCCTCCATCTCAGAGCTAGAAGGGGAGGCGGGCGGTGACTCTGAAGAAGGTAAGAAGGGCTTTTCTTTTTCTGTCTCTCTCTTTGCCGCTCATACCCACTGTGCCAGCAGCCTTCCCTTGCACTGGCCCCCAGGGATGTAGGAGCCTGAGTCTTGCCTGTCCTGCTCCCTTTTGAGGAGGGGACCATCAAGCCTTGTGTCGTGGTTGGATTCCCCGATGTCCAAATTGGACCTGGAGGTCTGTCATGTTGGGTGGTCATCGTCCATGGGGGTTGAGACCTCTTTGTTGGTGCGTGGCATCCTTGCCAGTGGCATGCCAGGGATGCTGGCACGCTGTGTTTGAATGAGCCTGGTGGGGGGCTGGGAGCAGCAGCCCCGGCTTTGGGCTCCTGCCCGCCCCTTCTGGCTTTGCCACTGCCGTTTGGAGTGAAAATAAACCAAAGTGCAGCACAAAAGGTCAGCAGGCGCAGAGGCCACCAGCGTGCTGCTGGCTCAGCCGGCTGGATAGCGGCACAGTGCCGGCAGCCGGTGCGCATCCTCTGCTGGCAGGGAGGCTGCCCAAATTCCTCCCACCTCACCCATCCCTGGACTTTGCCTCTCTGGGGATGCTGAGGATGGGGCTGAGCTGGGACGTCAGCTCAGGATTGGCTGTGCTGATGGAGGAGGTACTGCAGGCTCTGGGGTGGCATGTCTCCTGGGGGGACAGGGGCTTTGGGAGCCGCTGTGATTCCCCGGAGTGCTGCCTGCTATCAGATGGTAGTTGGGTGGTTTTGCTCTCTTCTTTAATGAAACTTTGGGCCCTCGGGGCTGGGATGGGGAACGGTGCATTCAAGATGGGTTTTGGGGAGGGCATGTGTCTTCTTGGCGAGTTTGCGACACTTCCCACGGCCCCTGCAGCCATCAGCGTTTCTTCCTGGGAGTTCCTCAAAATGCACATAACCCAAACCTGAACATTGTGTAATATTGGAGAAAGTGTTTCCTTGAAGAAAATGTTCTGCTTCCAGAGCTGATTTTTCAGCAATGGCTTCTTGGGTACATTAAAAGAAGAAAACCTGGGATAAAATCAGGCTTTTCACTCCTAAGTACCCCTCCAGCTTTACCATTTCTGTCCAACTTTAAGCCTCCAAAGACCCAAACATCACCTCTCCTCTCCTTCCCACCAAACCTTCAGGAGCTCAAGCTGCACTGTTTCTCTGTTCCTGTGGCACTCCAGCTGCTTGCATGATGGTTGACCCAGAGCAAGGATGTCCGGTGACCCTGCGCTGGCTGGGCTGAGTGGCCAGCACCAGCCCCTTGCCCTACTTCATCGTCTCTGATAGCGTGATGGTTTTTGGGGGTTGAATCTGCAGTCCTGAGAAGGGACCGGTGTTTTGGCTTGACAAAACTTTGGCTTAGCACCCTCAGCACCCAGCTGCACACCCCACGAGGATCCCTGCCCCTGTGGGCTCTGCTCAGCAGATCCCAGCCTGCATGGCCAGGCTGCGCCTGGGGCCAGAGGATGCTCTGGCAGCACAGGAGCTCGGGGCTTGGCTGCCACCTCTGAGGAGGCTTTAAAACAGCCCAGTGCAGTTGCGGCATTGGGAGATTTCTGGCCGGAGCGCAGCCCTGCTCGGATTCAGGATTCCCGAACGACTGCCCACCTCCCTGCTGACTCACAGCCTCTCTATTCTCCCACTGTCTTCCCATCTCTGGAGCCTCTTCCAAGAAAACACCAAGAGGCAAGGTTGGATTTTTCAGCCTAAAAAAATCCTGCCTGAAAATTCCTGGATTTTTTTTCTTTCTTCTTTATTCCCGATATTGAACCAAACGACTCGAACATGTGCCCGTGGTCACACACCTCGCTGTGGCACACATAGGCCATCCCCCCTCCCGGAGGCCCCTTGGCTCCTGCCTCGCTTCAGCCCCCACCTTTGCAGGAGGGGCTGGCATTTTTGCAGCCCTTTGGTCTTAACCTCTTGCAGGCTGACTCATATGTACTGTCTGGATAATTTTAGTCTGGGGTGGGGAGCTGGGGGGGAAAAGTGAGTAGCTGTGAAATTAATTTAATTACCTAAGCAGCGATGAGTTTCTTGCAGCTGCCCTGGGCGTCCTCCTGGGCAATGCCTCATCCCTGTCACTCAGTCTCACATGTCCTGCCTCAGATGCTGGTACCCAGTCTGTGTTGAGGTCCTCGGTTTTGGCTCTGATCTTTCCTGGGGTGGTTGAGCAGGGCTGGGCAGGGAGATCAGCCCAAGGGATGGACTCCTCCTCCCCTGTCTGCAAGCAGATGGGGCACAGAGATGCTGTGGGGGAAGGAGGGCGACCCATGACAGTCTTTTTCCTTGCAACCCCCTGGTCCGGCACGGAACGTGGAGCTGTGTATTGGTGTTGCTGGCTGTGAGTGAGCCAGCTTGCTGGCAGGCTTAGCCAGAGCCCGGCTGTTATGACTAATAATAATAATAATAATGTTTGTCATGCTAATTACTACTGTGGAGGTGCCTCGGGCATGGCCAGCCTGGAGCCAGGGACCTGCAAGGATGCCCGGCCCATAGAGTTTGACGCCAGTGGGTCTCACTTAGGGCGTTGTGCCCCAGCATGGAGGCAGTCAGTGGCATGTGCCAGCCGAGGTGTGACATGGCTGGGGGGGGATGGGTCTGAAGCTGCAGCCCCTTCCTCCAGTGTGGCTTTTGGGGGGGGCCTGGGGGCTGCAGGGGCTATTGTAAGGATGGGGACCAGCCTGGATGGAGCAGGAGGCGGGGGGGGAAGGGAGGAGGGAGGGCTGAGTCTGGTGGCTGCTGTGGCTGGTGACGGCCAGCCCAGCCCGCTGCTCCTGGCACGGGACAGCTCGGCGGCTCCAAAGGAAAATTGCTTTTCTTGGTCGTGCTCGTGGGCTCTGGTTTCAAGGCGGGTTGGGAGTGAGAATGTTGGATGCTGCAGTGGAAATAGCTGGAGCTGCTCTCTGGTCTGCTGCTGGAGATGGCTGGCAGAGGTGGGCTGTGCAGGCCAGGGACTGCAGGGCATCGTCATCAGTCCCGCGTGAGTCATCACAGGCTGGGCAGAGTCACCAGCTCTATTTTTAGGAGCTGGAGATGAGCAGGGAGCACAACGTGTGCTGTGTGGCATCCTGGGCAGAGAGGGACGCTGACTCAGAGCAGGGTGGAGGGGCTGTGGCATGGGAAGGGACCGTGGTCTGCATGCTCTGGTCCCCTCAGGGAAAGGGGTGGGCACGACCCTCCTCTCTGTGCCCTCGCTGGGGTCTTCAGCATCCCTGGGAGCAACCTAAAGACCCAGATGACCCAGACGTGTTTTTTCACAGACCCTGGGGGAAGAGGGACAGGGGAAATGTGCAGCTGGAGGAGCTCAGCTCAAGCACCTTCAGTGGCTGAAATGGGAATGCTGGGACAGGCATGGCCCCCTTTCATGCGGGCTGTGGGCTCATCCGTTTCCCCTTCTCTTTTGCTGCAGAGCCCAGGAGCTACGTCGAGTCGGTGGCCCGCACGGCCACAATGGGCAAGGGAGGGAGCCCGCCCACCACCCAGCCTGGAGGCCCGGAGGTGCCTGCCAGGAATGGCACCTTCACCAACTCCTTCACTGCCCCCAGCCCCGTCTCCACCAGCAGCCCCATTCACAGCGTGGATGGGTAAGGCAGTGGGTGCAGGTCCTGGGGGCTGGTGGGGCTGGGGCCGAACCCAAACCCTGCCTGGTGCACAGGCTTGCTCCCACATTGAAATTGCCTTTGCAAGGACCCCTCTCTCCCCATGCAGGATTTGGGGGTTCACGGCCAACCACACGGCTCACTGCCCTGAGGACACAAAGCTGGGTCACTGGTGATCATTTGGTGGTCACTGGACCTCAGCAACATCTTGCTAGGAACCCGGCCCCTGGGGCCCCTGTGCTAACCCCTAGCCCTGGGTTAGGCTGAGCATGGGTCCCCTGTTGTGTGATGGAGCCATACTCCCTGTCCCCTCTCCACCCTGCCCATGAGGTGTCCTGCACCAGCCCAGCCTGGCAAGACTTGCAGGAAGGAACGAATTGGGCGTTTTGCTGGGAGAGGAGCTGAAAAAGGCTGTGTCTCCCAGAAAGTCATATTTTGAGAGGAAACTGGGATGCATGGTGGAACTAAAGCTGCCTCTAGTTGCTTTCATGCAGCTAGCAGGACCTGTCCCACTGTTGCTTCTGAACAACCGAGCAGCTTGTTGCCACTGTGCCTCAGTTTCCCTGTGCACTACTCGCAGGAGGGTGCCAGCCAGCAGCAGGAATGAGCAGTGGAGCTGAATTCTCCTTTTCCTCATCTCTCCTCAGGGCCTCCCTCCGCAGCTACCCATCGGAGGGCAGCCCCCATGGCACGGTTACGCCTCCCCACACCTTGGCCGAGCCTGTTTACCGGTCGCCTGTTGGCTCGCAGATGCCCTCTGCTCACAGCAGCTACCAAAATTCGTCTCCATCTTCCTTTACAATGGTCCAAGGTGGGGTCCCGGGCTCGGTGTACGCCAGCCCTGACTACCCCGATGGCCGAGCCACCCTCCAGCCGGACCCCCAAGCTCGGCCGCAGCCACAGGTCAATGTGGTGGGGGTCCACGTCCTGCCGGGGAGCCCCCGCACCCTGCACCGGACAGTGGCTACCAACACGCCGCCCAGCCCTGGTTTTGGGCGAAGAGCCGTCAACCCCAGCATAAGTGGCGCTCCCGGCAGCCCAGGGCTAGGCAGGCATGCTGTGACGGCCCACGGCAACTTGGTGGCCACACCGGGGAGCCCCAGCCTGGCCAGGCATCAAGCCACAGCGGCCGTCCCCCCCAGCAGCCCCCTGTACGGCTACCCCAGCCCAGAGGAGAGGCGCCCGACGCTGTCTCGGCAGAGCAGCTCCTCCGGCTACCAGCCTCCTTCCACGCCGTCCTTCCCCGTCTCACCGGCGTACTACCCCGGCACAAGCACGCCGCACTCCTCCTCTCCGGACTCGGCCGCCTACCGCCAGGGCAGCCCCACGCCTCAGCCTGCGCTGCCCGAGAAGCGTCGGATGTCGGCCGGGGACCGCTCCAACAGCCTCCCCAACTATGCCACCATCAACGGCAAGGCATCCTCGCCCCTCTCCAGCGGCATGTCCAGTCCCAGCGGTGGAAGCGTCGTCACCTTCTCCCACACCCTGCCAGACTTCTCCAAGTTCTCCATGCCAGGTAAGTGATGCCCTTGGAGGTCCCCGTGTCCCCCTGCCCTGCCCAGGGCTTTCCCCTCCTCCTCCTCAATGGCTGCCGGTCAAAGGGTTGCAGCTGTGTCCTGATTTACCCCTCCTGTCCATCCGCAAACCAGCGGCACCGCTGGGGCTCGGGCCATTTCCTGCACTTTCTGGTAAATCCAAACAGGAAAAGCACCGACCTGGCATCGCTGGCGTAAACAGCGCCCAGAATTGTGTATGGGGAGATCAAAGTGCCCGGAGGCGGCTTTTCTCTGCCGTGGGGATGCGCTGACCTCCCGGCCCTGTTCCCGGCAGGCTTTACCCCACCGGGACGCTGCTGCAGCGCTGCCTCCTCGTTTCAAATGGTGCGCTGTGCCCCGGGTGCCGCTGCGCCTGGAACGCCTTCGCGCCTTTGCCGGCTCCCGTTACGGGACACCTCCGTGACGTCAAGATTAGGCCGATAGGACCAGGGGAATAAAGCCGCGGGGCAGCAGTGGCTCCGGCTGCCGGGCCGGTTTCGCTGCTGAGTGGGTAGCCCTTTGTGGGCACACTGGCGCCTGCCCTGGCCCTGTGACTCGCTGTGGCTGGGGACCTTTCCCAGTGGGGAAGCATGAGCAATTAAAACCTGTAACAATTAGTGAGCGGGCTGGGCAAGGGAGCGAGCCCCCCGCCTCTTCGAAGGCGACCAGATTGCAGAGGGCTGATAACATGTCTCCAGCAGAGATGCTATCCCGCCCTCTGGGTTGTTTGCTCGGTTGTTTTTGGAAAGCAGGTGGTTGGAAACGTTGCCTGAGCAAAGTGTCAGCTTCATGGCCAGAGGACCGGCTCCCATCACGGCTGTGCCACTGATGGGCACTGAGAAAGGCAGGGTTGGGCTGGGGCTACTTTTCCCAGAGCAGGTTGACCTGTCCAGTTCCTCTGCACAGAGCAAGGATAAGGGAAGGAATTTATTTTTATGATGGACAAGCCAAATCTTGACCATTAGAGAGCAGTGAAGGTCCTCTGAAGTCAGAGGATCTCCCCACCACCCTGTGGACATATCTCTTTCCTCCGACAGCTTTCATTTCACCTGGCCAGCTCCCTTTTAAACGATGAATTCCCATTTTGTCTCTGGCTTTGTGGCAAAGAGGTTCATCTCATGCACAGCCCTTTGAGGGCCCTTGTGCTTGAATTTAGCTTTGATGCCCGGCAGCCCCGTAAGCTCCAGGCGATGATCAACCTGCCAGGGTATGGAGGATTGGCTTAAGGTTAAAGCAATGCGCTGGGACTGAAAGAAGGTGGAGGTATTAATACTTTAGCTGGATTTGCTAAAAACTCATGTGGAGTTTTAGATACAGCATCTTTTAACTTTTTTCTTGTCTTTTCTTCCCTTCCTTGCAGATATCAGCCCTGAGACTCGTGCCAACGTCAAGTTTGTGCAGGACACTTCCAAGTACTGGTACAAACCGGAGATCTCCAGAGAGCAGGGTGGGTAGATGGCACAGGGCAAAGGATGTGGCTGAGTGAGCCATGGTTGGGAGTTGGGGTGTATCTGGGATCACAGGGATTAGCAAGGATTTCCCTTAGGGGCTGGGTTAGGAGTGAAGGTGGATTGTGGATACGCAGACCATTGCAGAGCAGGGTTGAAGCCCAGCTCAGCTCAGCTGCAGGCTTGTATGATGTGGTGTCTCCAAGCCTTCCCCTTGGTAGAAGAGCACCAGTCCCCACAGCATTCAGTGGATCTCTGCAGTTTGGGGTGCAAAGCACTCAGGTCTTGAGTTGAGAGAGCTCAGAGGAGTCTTGGAGACACAGCTAAACTAAGAGGGGACAACAAGGAGGGAGCAAGGTGTCTTCAGGGGCAAGGTCCCAGCATTTGGTCCCTGGTCCCTGCCTGCTCTGCAGTGCTTGGTTGCTCTAGAGCTGGGCTGGGTGGGAATGCTCTGAGATGCCCACACCAGGGCAGCGGAGGCAGGGTGGAGATGAGGCCCTGCCTGGCCGCAGACCCACTTGAGACCCCCATCCAAATGTGCCGGGGGGATGGTAACATTGTGGTGCCTGGGTGCGAGGCCGTGGAGCCCCGTCCCCGACCCACACCTGCTGGTTTTGGACGGCACGTTGGCTCTTGCCATGCCGGCTCTGAGGTCTGCCGTTCTCTCCTGCAGCCATTGCACTGCTGAAGGACAGGGAGCCGGGGGCTTTCATCATCCGAGACAGCCACTCCTTCCGGGGAGCCTACGGCCTTGCCATGAAAGTAGCTTCTCCGCCTCCCACGGTCATGCAGCAGAACAAGAAAGGTATTGTGTGCCCTTCTCCATCCCACGCTGAGATGCTTTCCATCGTTTGGCCGGGCCGAGCGGGCAGCCGGGTCTGCTGAACTAGTCATGCCGTTGGGTATGTGCTGATGTGGCAGGGTCCCTCCCTCCCAGCCCTCTCGTCCCAGGGCACAGGGAAGCACCAGACACCCTCTGCCCTGAGCTGTGGAGGGCTCAGGGGTATCTGCATCTTGGGCTTTGGCATGGTGAAATGGGCACAGCCTCCCCAGCCCACTGACACCATGGGGGAACCTGGCTTCAGGTAGACCCTGTGTGAAGGGCTGGATTTGAGGAGGTGTGTGGAGTGGCAGGGACCCCTCCCTGGAGCTGGAGCACTGGTTTCCCTGTGGAACTGCAGAGTAGAAAGAGGAAGAGGGTGACTCTGGTGTGAGAACATCCCATCTCTTCCCAGGAGACATCACCAACGAGCTGGTGAGGCACTTCCTCATTGAGACCAGCCCGCGGGGTGTGAAACTAAAAGGATGCCCCAACGAGCCCAATTTTGGTGAGTGCTCCCAGTGTGCTTCCCACATGTGGGGTTGGGTTGGGAGAGCCTTGCCTTTGCTGGACTATCAAAGCAGAGCTGTCAGGTATCTGGGACAGCCCCTGCCTCCGTTACTGCCTCTTGTCCCTGCGTAACCAAGTCCTGTGGGCATTTGGAGCCTCTGGGGTCATGCACACTCATGAGTGCACATGAATATGCCTATATGCACAGGTATGTACCTTTCTGCACATGTGTAAGACAAATGATGCTGCTGGACAGGGTGGAGGGCAGGGGCTCCCCTTGTTCCATTTATCCCATGGCTAATGCGCTTGGATGTGCTGCATGAGGACCTCTTCCCATTTGTTGTTCCTAGGGTGGCCCTGGCACCTCTGTCCCCTCCCTGAGCCCTCCGTGAGCATGGTGGTTTCAGTGAGAGGAATTGCCACATGTGACGTTAGGACCACAGTGAAGAAACCCACCAAAAAGCCTGTTCCCATCCTCCCAGAGCAACAATGACCTAACACTGGGGAAACCCATGTCCCCAGCCCTGTGCTGACCATCTCCCCTCTCTCCCCAGGCTGTCTCTCAGCTCTGGTGTACCAGCACTCCATCATGCCCTTGGCCCTGCCCTGCAAGCTGGTCATTCCTGACCGAGGTAAGAGCCAGGACCAGAAGGGATTGCATCCATCCCCACAGCCTGTGGGGATGGGTTAGGTTTCTAAGCAGGGAGCAGCAGTAACTATCCCATGTCTTCTAGATCCCATGGAGGAAAAGAAAGACACTGTGTCAGCCACCAACTCGGCCACAGACCTCCTCAAACAGGGTGCGGGTGAGTAGAGAGGGGCTGTTGCAGGGTGAATGTTGCTCAGAGCAGTGGTTGATCCCATGCCTGCTGTCTCCCTTTCTAGCATGCAACGTCCTCTTCATCAATTCGGTGGAGATGGAGTCACTGACGGGCCCCCAGGCCATCGCAAAGGCTGTCGCCGAGACGCTGGTGGCTGACCCCACACCCACTGCTACCATTGTCCACTTCAAAGTCTCTGCACAAGGCATCACCTTAACCGACAACCAGAGGAAGTAAGAGCCCTCATGGCCACAATCCTGGGTCCCCCAGCCAATGGGGCTGTGATCCAGGGAGGGTGTTGATGAAGGATGTCCCTGGTGTGGCATGAACCTGGCCATGGGCAGGGCTGGGCTTTGTCCTTGGTTCCTGGAGCATCCTAGGGGAGACCTATGGGAGTGTTCCCTGTGCTGGTGGGGCTGGGCTGTGGTGGGGGAGAGGTGGGGGCTCCCTGGCCCTGACGCTCCCTGCTTTGTGTTTCAGATTGTTCTTCCGACGACACTACCCCCTCAACACTGTCACCTTCTGTGACCTGGACCCCCAGGAACGAAAGTGAGTGCCCTAACCTGGGGGGGGCACATCTCCCCTGCCCCTTTCCCTCCCCCAGGCTCCTGGGCTGCTTGGAGCAGGGTCTGCTTGCTCTGTCCTCCTTGCTCCTGAGGAGGGCAGGGAGGGAAGGTTCCCTTGGATACTGTGGGGCAACACCAGTTTCTCCTGGTGACTTCTCGGTGTCTCCAAACATCTTCTTGCTAGGAGAAAGGTGCATCAGGTTTTTTCCATAGAGCCAAGCCTGTGCAAAACCAGGCTGGCCCTCCAGCATTGGTGTGGTGGCCCCCATCACGACCCTGTCTCTCTGTGGGGTGCAGGAGGCACCATCCCTCACACCTTCTCTTCTCCTTGCAGGTGGACTAAAACTGATGGCAGCGGCCCAGCCAAGTAAGTACTTTCTGTGCTTCCCAGCCGATTCCTCCCAGCCGCTGTCAGGGTGGCTTCTGCTTGTGTTTGAGCATTGGCTGGGAGATGCCCCATGCAGGGCAGCCTCTTGACCATGTGTGAGATGGGCTCAGCTCCTCGCTGCACGAACGTTTCACTCAAGCATGAGACCGTGGTCTTGGAGACTCAGGAAGCATCTTTCAGCCCCAAATTCTTGGTCAGAGCAGGCACAGCCCTTGCTGAACTGGCCTTACTGGAAACTCTCCCAGCGGAGTCAGAGGGAGCCAGCTCATGGAGCAGAGCTGGGGGTTATGCTGATGGCACGTGAGCCACCAGCAGCCGGCTCTTTCCTTTCCTCCTGTCGTCCCTGTCCTGACCCACAGGAGCACAGAGACACTGCCTGAGCCCATCTCCAGGGGCCAATTCCCACTAATTTTAGCCATCGTGTTAGCGAAGGGGTTTTTATTAGGATGCCCAGCTGCTGGGATATTTCCCCTCCCCAATTAGAAATGCCACGGCCTGGGCCTGTCTCACATTCTGTTCCCCCGTATTTATAACTTGAGTTTGCACATTATAATTAAAAAAAAAAGGGACATTTTATTCATCGGGGAGAGACAGACAGAAATAACCACATGGTCTCACCCAGCTCCCTGTGTCCCCACATGGCCTTCCTCTCATACAGGGTCTACCTCAATGGCCAGTCCATCACCTCTGGGGTTTCAAGGGTCATGACCCAAACGAAGGCAATGCTGTGATCATCTGGAAGGTCCCTTCTGGGGGACGGTCTAGGGGAGGGTGTCAGGGATGGTCAGAACCAAGGTGGTTTGGCCAAGAGATGATGGAAAGGCAATGCTGGCCTTCAAAGGAACTGCAGCAATGGGAAGAGTAGATGGGTCTTCATGCAGGTTGGTTTGGGATGTCTCCCTCTGTGTTGTGTGAGGTGGCTGCTAAAGAGGGGAAGGTGGACAAGACCATGCTGGAAGAGAGTGGTGGTGTTCCTTGGGTGAGCAACACTGGCAAACCTCACTGAGCCTCTTACCTTCTCCCCACCCAGGCTCTTCGGCTTCGTGGCCAGGAAGCAAGGGAGCACCACAGACAACATCTGCCACCTCTTTGCCGAGCTGGACCCGGACCAGCCAGCTGCAGCCATCGTCAACTTTGTCTCCAGGGTCATGCTTGGCTCTGGCCAGAAAAGATGAGCTGGAGCTTGCGGGTGATTCTTGAATTTTGGAGAAGGACTTGGAGCTGATCCGAGAAGGAGTGTGAGGAAGTGCATTGTGGGAGAGGGAAGTGAATCGGGGGGGGAAAGGGTTGGAATTTTGGAGGAAAACAGCAAACAACAAAAAAAACCCAACAAAACCCTTAAAAACTCAACACAAGCCAAACACACACATAAAGGAACCAAAAGCACGCACCTACATAAAAGAGCTACAAAGTCACGCCAGACAGGATGCATGTCCCATTGCAGGGAAGGTGACCAAAGTGAAGGCGGCAGTGAGAGGCGTATTCCCAGCTTTCAACATCACAGTCCGGAGCGGTGATGTCCACTCAGGACCGAATGCGGGACCATGACTGGTGTTTTCCATCTGGAAAAAAAAGAGACAACGGGCAAAACCCATGGAAGAAGCTCCATCCCAGCAGCTCCATTGGCAAACATCTGCTGTGCGTTTGAAACCACCCGTAGGAAGTATCGACATAGGCTGGGTCTGTGGGACACCGGAGAAGATGCCCTCAGAAACCTTCCTTTGCCTGGCTGCAGCGGAGGGTCCTCACCGGCCCCCACGCTTCTCCTGAAACCTGCTGGCCACCTGGCAACTTTCTGGGGGCACAGGGGAGTTTGGTCCTGAACCTTCCCGTCCCTGGGGAGCTGGGTCACGGGCTGACCTCTGTTGCTGACCTAGAGCCCAGCACCGGTCACAGGTGAGCCGCTGTGAGTCCACCCGGAGAGGGGGGTGACGGCATTTCCCCACCTCCCTGGTGGTGCTTGTGCTCCCCAGCCTGCAAGGAAGTGTGTGGGGGCTCCTGCCGCCCCATGCCTGGGGAAGGCAGATGCTCCCCAGGAGCCTCCCCGGAGGATGCAGAAAGTCGCCTCCTCTCCCGTCTTCCCCTTTTCCCTCCCGTCACTAGTCCTCTTTGGCAGTTTTCTCCTGCAGCCTGTCACATGTTCTCCTAACACAAAAAAAACAAAACAGAAAGAAAAACATTGTAATAATAATAATAATTATAATAATAGCGGATGCTAGCACAGGTGGGTTCCCTGTGTGAAGCAGTGGACCCGTGGCTACCCCTATCCCGCTCTTCGGAGACGCGCAAGCGGTTTTTGAATTGCATGGACGTTCAAGTTGCACGAAAGGCGAATGACTACAAGTAACTCAGGCGCTTTTTTCTCCTTTTATTTTGGAGGCCACGTTAAAAAAAAAGAAAAAGAAGGAAGAAAATTAAAGAAAAAAGAAAATAAAAAAGGAAAGGACCTGCAGTCGCTGGGCAACTTTGGCTCAGTGGGGAGGTAACAGGTCCGCTGAGAGCCACCCTGCTCAGCATGTGCCTGCCCTCAAAACCAGCTGGCTGGAGGCTCATGCCCCCCGAATGCACTGTAGTTTTCCAGTGTCTTCAGTGTCGTCGGCTTTTCCCTTTGCTTTGGGAGGTGAGCAGGGCCAGCCGGGGGGTGAGAGGGGTGAAGGGCCCCTGTGCTGCTGCGGAGGGTGGATCGTGGTCGGGGGGCAGCAGGCAGAGGTCCCAGCCCGGCGGTGCTGGGGAGGGTGCAGAGGATGCTTCAGTCACATGTGCAGGTTTGGGGCAGGAAGAACGGTCTGGCTGGAGCCATGGGGTCATTGCTGAGCCCTCTGCTGCAAACGTCCCCCCCCCCCCCACGAGCTTTTTGGGAGAAGTTTTCAGTGCAAAGTGGCCCAGTTAGTCTATCGGGGGTGAAAATTAGAAACATAGCACTGCAGCCCCCCTGGAGCGCTTGTCTCCCTTGGACTGCCCTTGCCTTGATAGCTATAATATATATATGAGCTACACTGACGAAATACTGTAAGCTAACGAAATTTTAAGGAGGAAAAAAAGGTTAAATTTACACTCGGAAAATATTTATTTTTGCCATATTGCTTTCTGTGCACCATATCTCCCCCATTATATCTGCCCCCTCCCCCCCCTTCCCCTGCCCCAGGGAAACACCTGCACGTTAAAAGAAAATCCAGAGCAAGGAAAAATACGGATGGGGGAAGAGGCGCGGGGGCCCCCCCGTGTCGGGGCGGTGTGTGTGTGACCGGTGTGCGTGTGTGCGTGTGCGTGGGGGAGCGAGCGACGTGGGTGCCCGGAGGGGGCTGGCACGGCCGGAGGCTGTACTGATGTACTGAAGCGAGTGTGAAAGGATGCGTAGCAAGGAGTTGGTTGCGAGATGGTGGCAAGACTGGGGGCTCCGGGGGGGATTCCCCCCTCCCCGGCTCCCTGGCCATGGATGCGGAGACCTTTTCATTTTTGATGTTTCCAAAAAGCGATTCCCTCCTTCTGCGAAATTCAAGCGAGATGAGAGATGATCTCACACGTAATCTCCTCACCCTGCCGTTCACTGGTTAGAGAAAACACTGTGTTTATAGATAGATAAAGATATATTTTTGAAAGCCTCTATTTTTCAGACTTGGTTTTCTCACTGCTAAGAAAAGAGATGATAATAATGTAATTTTATTTTAATCTGCTGCCTCAGAAACCGGTGCTTGAAACTCCCATTCCTTTTTTTCTCCCCATACAAACAAAGCAGATCTAAGCACCCCAGAGATGTAGAGTAGAAGCCAACCCCAGCAGATACCTGCCGATAGCATCACACCTGCTTCGGGCCCTGAGCTGCTCATGGCTTCCCCACTAACCCACTAGCTGAAGATGTAGACCATATCCAAATCTCTAACAAAATCGTCTGATGATTATGTTATTTTTTAACACATAGCTGATCACCTTCGAATGATGTAGCCAGGTGTTTGTCCGCTCCCTTTAAAGGCACTTTTTTTTTTTTCCTTTTATCTCCTTTTTTAAGTTACATTTTTTAGGTTTAACTACCCTATCTGTCCCCAGGAGAGACAGTCAGCCAGTGTTGAGGATCGCCCAGGTCCCAGGGCTGGCAGGGACCTAGTGTTGATATTTTTTCCTTACAAAAGGGACAGAAAAAGACTCTGTATTTTTTTTTCTTTGGTTTTTAAATGCAGTCATGGTATTTGAGATTCAAGCTTGTGCGAGTTAAGCCCAGCATATGTTTCGTTGTAATCACACTGCCGTTGTCAGCAGCCGGATGGTATCTCTCTCTCGCTCACGCACACACACACAAACACATCCCTCCTTCCTGCACAAAGAACTGCATATATTCTTGCCAAAGATATCCTTAAAAACGCACTTTTGCCCACATATATATATATATATTTTTTTTTTTTTTTGCGTGTGTAAATTTATTGTACGTGCCCTATTTGTGTCAGTTTGTTTTTCGGAGAAGCCCTTTCCCACCCGTCCTCCCTTTGCTGTCAAAGTTGCTGTCTGTTGGAAAATGCTACCCAGGGGGGTCGTTTGCTGCCTGTCCCAAACGGTAGCGCCTGCAATGTGTGAAATGTGGGGTTCCCGTTCAGTGGGGCTGGCTCTGGCTCTGCCCTGCTCCAGGAACTGTTCTGGGGGATGATCCGTGTCATCGTCTGCTGATGGGATGCACCCATCTCATGGTCTTTGCCAGCCCCTCATTGCCAGTGGAGATGGGGGGGCTCATGGGTTTAAGCAGATAAATTGAGCAAAGTTTGGGGTTGCTCTGGATGCAACATTTGCTGGCTGCCCCCTGGTCAAACCACACATGGAAAACAAACCAGGTAGGGAGAAAAACCCAACCCAGCCTCTGGGCATTGATTTTCCAGAGAGCTCAACCGCCTGAACCGAAGTGCAGAGTAAATCCCCACCCAGCAGGTCGGGCAGGTAAAGAAACCAGTTGCCCCAAAAACCCCAGACAGCAGCATCAACAAAAGGCAACCCTTCCCGTTGGAGCAGGCAGGAGGATCAGACAGCAAAGGAGCCCGCAGGGGCTTGTTTCATTTCGTTCGTTTGTTTTGCAAATTATGAGGTTGGTTTGGGGTTACTAATTTTTTTTCTTTTCCTTAAAAAGGGAAAAAAAAAAAAGAAAAGAAAGGAAGCAACCTGACGTTTCTGTTGGCGGATCCTGTGCCGCCGTGTTATGCGTGGTTGTTTTTTATTTTGTTGTTGTTGTTGTCTTTGTTACTTTGGGAACGTTACAGATTTATTTGCTAATCAGTGTTAATGAACAGTTTCAAACTTTTAGACTCGCCCATTTCTGTGTATTTATATAGATGGAAAAAAAATACGTTATATTTTGTATCTTTGTGCCCATAATGTTGTCGCGTGTGTAAGGATGACTTTGGTCGCACCATGTCCGTGTGTGAATGTGACTCCGCTGTTGTCTTCCCATTGTACAGATGTCGGATTCTTTGCAGTTCATTGTATGGCTTTATAAAGTGGTAAAAACAAAAAAAATCAGTTATATAAAATATACTGTTGCTTGGAATGCCAGCTTGGTGTCTGGATCGCTGGAAATGTATCTTGAAATTTAAGGGAGCGCAGGAATAAATGCTCTGTTCTTTTTGCACAGGGGAAAAAAAACCCAAACCTAAAACCCGGCGGGTGCTGTGTTTTCTCCGGGCTGTCGTTCCCCCCTGTTCCTCGATGGCAGATTGGGGCCCCCGGACAGACGCTGGGCGGTGGGTGTGGGAAGAAGGAGGGGTTGTGCTGCTGCTTGTCAGCCTCCAGCCGCAGCTTGTGTTCACCAGATGCTCGCTAACCAGGCAGCCCCCAAACTTCCGACATGGCTCCAGCTCCAGCCTGGGCTTTTGTTTACCAGGAGGGATCTCTCCGGCTTGCCCCGCAGGCACTGGGTGCTCTTCAAATCCCGCTGCTTTCTCCCAGGTTGCCTTTAGGTGCTGTCTGTTCAGCCTCGGACATCCCCTTTGAGCCCATCTCCCGCAGGGGAGTGGGATGGTATGATGCTGCTATGGGGTCTTTTGCCTTTGCTGAGGTGGTGGTTTGGGCTCTGCTCCCATTAAATCCCACTCCCTGCCACTTTTGGAGCCATCCTGCTCCCCTGTGCCTGGCAAAACTTTCCCCAAAGTCTCAGGCCTGGCTTTTCCAGTGTTCGCAGAGCAATTCCCAGCATCCGTCAGAGCCCTCAGCCCCCGGCTCTCTGGCTCCGCTCCTTCCCCTCCTCGCTGAGTTGGTGGCCAAGACCAGGCCCCCGGGATGGATTGAGTTTAATTATACAAGAAATATCAGCCAGAGCAGCGGCAGTTTCTCTGGCGCCAGCACTGCTGCAGCTCAGAGGCTCCGAGCTTCTCCTGGGAGCCG